ATATGTAATATGATCAGCTTTCAATTGCTTATTGAAGATGCAGATCATCAACAACTATAATAATTTACTTACAACATAGTATGGGATATGCTGATAAAAGGTTTTCTAAGCATTTCGAACATTACAGTAATTTGCAGTGATATTATGCGAGAACGTATATTCTAATCACGGAATAATGATTTTTGTGAGCAGCTATTCGAAATGTTATCAACGCCTTATAAAATGATGATCTACTGATAAAGTGTTATCTACTATTTCCTTCTGCAAAAAAAACCCAATTGATAACAAAATGCTACTCATTGAGCTGTTAAAAAGAAAAAGGGCTTCTGGGTAGTTCTTATATATGGAATGGCATAGAGATATGGGTTGATCGTGTATTGCTAAATAACTTTTAACCACCATTCTTTGATCGAGGACGCAAGATTTAACGAAAAGCTATCGGCTATAGGCAGCACTATCTATCGCCACCACTATTCCATCGTCTTTTCAAACAAGACGATGTTTGCGAATGCCGCTCAAGTACAATGGACGCAATTATTCTGTGGGTGCACCAGCGCCATGGGTGGTGCATCAGTGCAGTTTATCTCGCACGATCAGGCCTGTGCCTAAATGCAGTAAGAACAAACAACGAATAGGACTTCCGGTTTCTTTTTTTTGAATTAAAGCTCGCTGGCAAAATGATCTGTTATCAGTGGGCTCACTTCATCTGCCTTTTTATCCTCCTTCATTTAAAATATCTTTCAAATAAAATTACCACGTTCCGCGTTGGCAGTCTAAAGCGGTGCCAGAAGTAGCAGATGTAAAACTGGAAACATTAGGTCGGTTTAAACGAAAAAATCACTGGAATATCTGCTACTGCACAAATATGCTCCATCCGATTAGATTCATTAAGAAGATACTGATTCTATTTTTCTAATATGACAAACAGTTGATAACTCAGAGGCGAAAGCATCGTTAATGAGTGTATGGATCGTCTCGAAAGCGGTTCATGGACCTGGGAGTTGGTTGGACGGAATTAATTGCACACGGGAATCGAGATGACAGCCAATATACAGCAGAGGCCATTGATTGATTAAGCTAACGAAACATAAGCGCGACTGATATGACTCGGTTCATTCGAACGCGTTACAATGGAGTAGAAGATAATTCACACATTATCACAAGCAATAGCCGATATAAGTTCCGGAGTGGCGCCAAACACGTTAACAAATTTTTAATCTGAAGGTACATCATGAAACAGAATAATCAGTAACCACAAATAATAATACATACTTGTGTGCGATTAGTTTGTGCCCTAGCTATTTGAGAGTCTTGTATGCTATCGCTAGATATGGATTTGCAGTTAGTAATGCTGAAGTTCTCGAAAAAATATGCTGTGAAATGTAAAACGTTGATATTTTAACTATTATTATTGTAATTATTATTATTATCATTATAATAATTATTATTATAATTATTATTGCATAACTATTGTATTTTGATCATGTTGTCGTATAGCTACAGCAAAAAATTTGCGCTTGTTTTCATAATAATCCAAATTTCTCTCTAAGCTTTTGTGAAAAAACTTGAACAAGTCTCGCAAAGAGAAGTCTATATTAGCAGTAATCGACAGTCCTCGTGATGGCGTAGTGGGTGGCGTGTTTGCCTGCTAATCTTTCCGAACACGTAATAGTCTGGGTTTTAACCTGAGCTGTGGACACACGGTGCATTTTATGTTGGGTATCGATCGTCTTACGGAACACCTACCGTGACTCAAAACATTTAGCGGCAAGCGAGAGCATTTCTAATAGGTTCAGTAGTAACAATGAGAACCTCAAACATAGTAGTGGTACGGTTAAAGCGGCCTGCAAGACCAATACGGGGAAAGAGATTTCTAGAAACAACAGTACTGGGCATTTTAACTGGGCACAGAAAACACTCCGTTCGAGGCGAACGTGTCGCTTATAAATACTGAGCATCATTCTGGACGATTCGAATCTATGGGATATTTTCAAATAACCCTTTTCCTGTTGGGAAGTGAATATCACAGCATTTTGCCAGCCAAACAGTGAGAACATCCTATTCCCTAAGTAACTTGTATTCTTAATCATAACTATTATATTTGAATTCATGAAATGTAACCATCATGTTTATACGGATATGTGACGAAGACAGTATAAGAAACTTCTTGATCTTTTTGAGATTTCGTTCGATAACAACAAATTCGTGGATGAATGTTAAATAAAATTGGCCGGAATGTGTATTGTGCAGATTAGTTAGTTGATTACATCACGGTAAAAACACGGTATCAAAGGGTCGAGTTAACTAGATTGTCCCTACTGCTATAACTCTAATGTAGCCCGATCTCATAATCAACAAAGACTAAGTTTCGTTCCACGGGATTGGTATTATTTATTCCTTATTGGAGAATGGTTTTTCAAGCACCACCTCTATTAGGCCATCAAAGAAGGGTCCAGTCACCGCTTTCCAATGCAAAGAATTGGCTTTCTACTTCCAACATTTTTTCCACCATATTCGCAATCGTTTTTCTACGGTTACCCTTAATGGCAAGAGAATCGGCGACATTTGCTCCTACCTCCGAAAAAAATTCCGAGTTCTCCTGGACAACATTTCTAAAAAACAGAAGTGCCAAATCTATAAACAAGTATTTACAAAGTTTTCATTTGAATTTGAACTGGATAGTTTGCAATTAATCTCTGTTCAAAAATATGCGCCTATCTACAAGGGTCACGTCTATTGCCAAGCGTCAACCAGGTAGAAACCACGCCTTTGGACTTTCAGGCACTTACCTAAATAAGGCCACGTCCTCTTACCATCGCCAAGCGTCAACCAGGCAGAAACCATGCCTTTGGACTTTCAGGCACTTACCTAATAAGAGTTCCAAGAGCGGTATGAGTGAAACCGTCATGACTTTCTGTTTCCTTGTTAACGGCTTTTCCTACGGGTTTCGATTCTGGTCTATCTAATTTAAGTTTCTCGTTGTTTCGAGGGGAGTCATCGTGAGCAATGAAGTGGTCTCGAAAACGCTTCCAGTTGGGCCGATCGGTTATTGCATACGAAGCGGCTTTTCGATGAGGTGATGACGGCGAAGTGCTTTTCAGATCTAGATAAATTTCATCTCATATTTAATTTGATGCACGAAGAATATACGGAAACTCTGCCTTTCCGAACCAAAAGTGAGCTATTCAACTTTAACAGTTAGTCAATTACCTGAGAATTTAGAGTAAACTCGTTTTTACAATGATTACAAAGTTATTGATAGGTTACTAATACAAATATAAAGCGCCGTTAGTATAACGGTAACAAATAGAAATCGTATCTCTGAGTCAGCATGTGCTTTCTTAGCCCAGATGCCTAGATAGTCGTTCTCGCTTGGCAAGTAATCTATTTTGACGTAATAGTGTCATTATAAACATGATCTGTGCAAGCATAAAGCGTTTTTGCATAAACGACATTTTTTAAATATCTTAGCTCATATTTTTTTACCATAGGATTGCCTTTACTGTATTCCCATACTCTAAGCTAATCTTTACTATCTTGTTACATCTCATACTCTACTCAGAAGACAAGACCTATGCCAGAACACGGTTAAATCGATGAAAAATACAGCAGGAAAGAGTACCCTGCTTAAATATTATTAGCGTGATCGCTGCCGCGATCTTTGAACTACGGAGTGATTTTTTTGATTCATCGTACAACGAGGCGTTAATAAAGCGAAATTGATTTTTCACAAGACAACATTGTCACGTAGTTTTTGTGACCTAGAAGCCTTCGGCTGCTTGTAACACGTACGCCACGGCATCGGACGCAAGTCCCTAACTATGCACTTATCTACGAACGTTTAATAGATTGTTTAATAGATTATTATGAAGTTTAATAGATTATGAAAAAACATGTAGTAGGTCAAGTTTCGAAGACAACAAAGAAAAACAAAAAAAAAAAGCATTGCGATTTAGAAAATACTATTTTGACGCACGATAGAAAGCATTATTATATTGTCTACCTGCGAGCGATGGGCGGTTGGAGTCCTTGCCCCGTCGTGAAATTTCCTTAATAAGGTCCAACTTTTGGAGATTCATTTCAAGTCGATAGTCGTACGAATATAGTGCAAAGATACCAGTTAACAAAAGCGCGACCACACAGACCAGTAAAACGAAAACCGACCCGGACAGAAGGGCCATACCTCCAGGCAGAGTGACGTCCCTCACACATACACCTCTTGTCGAAACACTACGAAGGTCAATAAGAGAGACTATACAATTTTTGATCTTTGAGGATATTAGCGGTGCACACCTCTGAGCTGGCAAGGTGTATGATCAAATGTGCCTCAACGCTAAAAATATGAAAGACCCTCATATGGCCCCCTATGGCCTCATACTAAACTTGAATGTACTTAGCAGTTTAGTTGCAGAGAAGGTTCATTTATGTAAACATCTCATCTACTGGTTCGAAAACGGCATTCTTATCTCAGGCTTGATTTGAATAAGGGTTAAGTCGTATAGAGACTGATAAGGGAAGACAGCCGGTAATTAAAACTTCATGCTTATTGGAATACAAATAATATCTTTACAGTATGTTCTGTTAGAGAAGAATTGTTATCATCATCGTACTTTCTAGCTGTAATATCTTCGAAGTTGATCTTGATAGGCCTCATTATGAACTGATGTTCTTGCCAAAAATATTGGTGGGACAGATTTTTGCCTGAACATGGAAAACCAAATTCACCTTCGGATCAGTACCTATAATAAGCCTATTTACAGTATGAGAATGGTGGAATTTCATCAAAATAGCAGTAAAACTGTTTACTGGTTGAAAATATTATACGGATACAAGGCAGTGAGAGGGTTTACTGTAGCACTGGAAAGTATATGAAACGTCCTTAAGATTGGTTTATAACGCCCATTGATTAGAATGTATTCTGATTTTTCAGATGTGTGCTAACGGCACAAAGTCACCAACTGTGAAATTAGACTGAATATGTTGAGAACTTCAAACGAGAAAAACGCCCCTCTGGGCTTTAACGATCGTTATAAAGTTATAACCACGGACTACAACTAGGGCGCGCATCTAATGTTGCCATTGATGCAATAAACAGTGTATCAATATTTGCCTCCATACGCTTTCTAACCGGTAGTATACGTGTAACGCAAATATAATTTCAAGAAGTTACAAATCCATTTTTTGTTTACTCTAGATCAGTCCAGACATTCGCAAGGAATAGAAATGTAGTTGTTCCATGTGTATCTTACCGATATAAGGCAGTGCAGTTACAGAAGCCCTGCACGCAGGCCGTTAATCCTATATCAGCTTGAATGCAATCTGCGTCATTCTGGCAGGGTGATCCATACTGTCCTGAACATTCTATATTTGCGTGAAATAGTTATTTGTTATTAGAAAATTCTCATCGACGACATCAAGGTTTAAAATCTTCGATAGTGAAAAAAGACATTGATGTTGCTATCACCGTTGTCTCATTTCGTTTTCTCTGCTTTTTTATTGCTACACGTAAGCAAACGTTTTTATTACTTTTTATGGAAAAAAAATGCATTCTTATGTAGCCGCCACTGGGTTAACTAATTTTCAGCAGCCTTCTTCGAGCTTTAAGGCGCGTATCTGAACCATGTTTACGGGTTTGAATATGGAGATTGAAACATGGTAGCTGCACTGGATTCCGTCACTTGCAAGTAACATCACCAAGCAGAATTCCGATTTAAACAAATTCATAGCACCTTTACATCAAATACGAGAAATATTTGATGTAAAGAGGAAAACACTGCTTACTGTTGTAAGCAAACACGGCTGTTTAGTCTTGATTTGAGCTCCGTTATAGAAATCAATTTGAAGCTGAAATAATTCGGCGCTCACTATATAACGACATTACGTATGCTTTCCTTCTCGCGTATGATTTCTCTAAACACTCGACTTAAGCAAGAAAGCGTTCCCCATGTATGCCGACACGATATAAAGTGCTACGCTTGAATGTTGGTTCCTTGAGACAACGACTCCATATCTACTATACCTCCAATACTAACGGCTTTATCTGACTATACTTGATCGTACGTAACGACTGACACTTCTGTTTACCTTCCAGCACAGAATACTATCAAGGTAGCCAGGCAAAAAGACTTTTCGAGAAAGTCTTCGAAATATTCGAGATATTTCGCGGTACATATTTGTGCCTGTGGCGCGCTGAATAAATCTCTCCAACCGTTCATCCAATTAACTCTTGTTAACAACATCTAGGAATGGCGCTAATGTGTTCGCTCAAAACTTCGATGCCCAGTCCACGATCTTCCCTCGAGTATTGCCGCAGCCTAATTGCCCCTTTTTCTACAATACCTCCAGATTCGAAGTCGTCTGACCCCTGCGCTATTATAGGATGTACTGCCTCATGTCACTACATGTTTTCCTTCGTTTCCTTTAACAGCGCAGAAGTGGACGGCCTGATACCAAATAGTATAACTCAGTCCTACTTGAGCGAAAACAGTTGTTTTTTCCAATAATTTTATTAATACTTTTATAACGAATTGTACAAATAAACTCGTATACTTTATGCGCACGAAACTAAGCTTTTTCTATATAATTCTATGTATTCAATTATTGTGGAGCTAGTTACCTCCATACCGTATATACTATTATATTAGTAATAGTTCATTTAAAGCTCGATGAATAGTTTACCTAGTCGAATCCAGGAAGGATTCTTGTAAAAGTAGACTAGTAAGCATTCCAATTATAGCTAGAGGCTTGTTTATGGAACGTATGGCTAGAAACGTTTTCCTGTATGTTTGATTAATACGTTAGAAAACCCGTAGCATTTGAACTAGCGTGTCGAGTAATAAGCAAGGACAACAGAAGAAATACCCCAGAATCTGTCACGACCCTCACGGGGATTCGAAACATAACCTTCTATGGTCCTCAAAGAGCCAAACATGCTTACTAATGTATTTAACTAGAAAAAATACAAATTATGTCCATTCAATACGCTTACGTAAGTGTTCCATTGGTACTGCTAACTTACCGAGGGCTTGGTTTTGTTTCTGCATGCATGGATCCGTAGACCGTTCACAAAAAGCTCCCTTCGCTGTACATGAGGCACTTAAGTTCAACATACTGAGCAAGCCTCAACAACGCCAATAGAACTATGGAAAAAGCTTTGTTCTTATCGACGAATTGATGAAGCTGATACACGAAGCGCAGTTAGTAGCAGTTCTCAACACTATTTCCGAAACAGGACGAATAGTTTTTAAACTGTAAAATCCATAATATTTTACATGCGACTCTCGAATTTCGCAATTTTTTTGCGTTTGGAAGACCTTAAGCATATTCTTGAATCCGTCATCTTTGACGGATGGAACTAGTTTTACAGAATATGTATTTACCCGAGAGTCGTAATCCGCGAACGTTGACAGACATTTTAAAGATTGGTCGTATCTACTTCAAGACTTCAGATGTTGCTATGTGACGTCTGTGTATAGTAGGTTTGGAAAACTGGTGGCTTAATATAACATGCGACGCGACACAACTGGACGATTATTGATTTCGTAACATAGTTCCAGCACAATTGTTGCTTAATATTTGTCTATCTTACTATAGGTCTTTGTGGGATTATTAAGCTCAAAACGACCTTTTAAAGTGGCCCGCCTTCTTCTGGGTCCTTCTGGGGGGACATAATTAGCCTTTTTACTTCAAGGTGCCACAACAATTAAATATATAACAGCAAGTGCGGGTAAAGCCCGCGGGTGGCGCTCTGTTCTAAGCTATCCATGCTACAAAATCGTAAGGTCTGCGGGTAGGTTCGACCAAAATGATTCCTCAGAAAGCACAATTAATCTGATGTGAATCTTGCTGAAAAAGGCTGCGTAGGAGATGGAGCCGATTGGACCGATACTCTTGTCCCTAAATGACATAATTCGCTATTTACCGTAGAGTGTATACTGAGGTCAGCGATTTCACGCTAGCTGGAAGTTGCTGACCCGACAAGCACCGGGGTCGCCATGAGTGTTCCGCGCTGAAGATGATCAAATATACAAATGTAAATTTCTGCGAAAGTTACAAAAAACAGTATTGAAACTATATTGTGGAAAAAAGCTACTAAGTTTTAGCTATTAGGATTTAGCTTGTCGCTATTGCTACTGTTATAAATGTAATTAACATTTTATACGTCAAACACGACGTGTTTACTAGCAAAACAGGAGAGAAGGTCACAAGCAGCACTCTGGCGTCTGCTAACGCGACGTGCATTAGAAGCGTGCTCACTGCTTCAAATATGCAGTTTTATTACTACTTAAATAGAACTGTGAAAAACTGATGCGGAATAACCGATGATTTCCGCACAAACGTACGTAGTTACCTGTCTTTAATTATCTTTACTGGCGAAGTCGACAAATGACGGGGTCCTTTCATTATCATTTATTAGTCTGTTGAGAGAAATCCACTTCTAAATGCTTCACACAAAAAGTACGGTAAATAACCACTAACGGTATTCATGGCAGCTACGAACACCAGTTCGTTGTGACTTTGAAATAACTTACTGTAACTTAACTCACGTGAGGCGTACTCTAAATATGGTGAATAAAGGATCGTATTGTCCAGTGTTAAGAATCTACGGAGCAGGGCATACTTGATCGTTTTTTTTGAACGACACAAAATCCTTAGACGTAACCCTTGTAAATTGTTATTTTATTACTATATGTTTTTATAGGCATTTTAGTAATAAGAGTTATTATTTGTTTATAGTTTATGGTAGACTCGTAACAAGAAAATAAAAAACGATCATAATAAGTAGCAATAATTCAACCTAATAGAATTGGGAAAAAAGCCTTATAACCTTTTATTATTACCAGTATTTGCATTATTCCCAGGATGTTGAGGAAGCGTATAAAACACGGTGGAATTCAGTGGAGTCCTGGTCATGGCATACTTTATAATTGTATTGATCAATATACACCCATTCCTGTCGACTGTTAGTGTTGTATGTATGTGACCAGCCGTGTCGGTGCCTATCACAATGGGGCACAACTGTACAAAAGATTATTAGAGACAATTTTGCAACCACGGCTGTTATTGGAACAGGAAATCAGTTTGGAGTCGGAGTCGCTCTTAAATGCACCATTTTTGATCACCAATCAGCTCTGCAGACGACACAGTACGTCAATGGTGTACGGTGTAATACGCTCAATTAGTTCAGCTAACTTGAATCTTAAATAGAATCCAGAAAACGCGATCTCCTAATACAAAGAAGTAGTCGTACAATGGGGACTGCGTATCGTCTCAAACGTAGCAATGTACACTTACAAAACTTTTTTTTTTTTTATTCATCTTTTCCGTTCTAAGCTTAAACAACAGAGTGAACCGCTTAGCTTTTCGCAGCGCAACACAAATATTGAAAATAAAAACAATCATATTTATATATTTTTCACTAAAATTTAAAACAATTTTCAACACTACCATTCCGCACTACAATTCGGACAAGGTGGGGCACAAAAAGATATTTTGGTCTTCATAATTTCGTAGCTACCAGAATAATAATAATAATAGTAATAATAAGACTTCTATATAAGCGCACCCATTCCTTCCGAGGATTTAGGTAATTGTACGAGGATATAATGCACATATAAATGTATGTACCCGTAGTCAAACAAAAGAATATTTAGTACCACCTGCTAATGTTACATTTCGACGTTTGGGCTGCTACAGTATAAAAACTAGCGCTGAAGTGATTTCAACACGATGCGCACTCGTCTGTTTTTTTGTGTGACCAGTCCCCAGATATAGTGAAAGCTGGCCCGTATTAATGAAAAAAAAAAAAAAGCCATGATTTGTGGTATTATTACGTTAACGTGTTAGGAAAAACAAGTAACCCAAACAATTTATAGACACCATTGTGACAGTCTAGATAGTATCAATGCGTACGCAATAGTCGGCGAAATCTACACGGACAGTCACGGACGTGTCATGCGCACATTGTTATTCCGTCAACGGCGGGGAGGCACAGGAGTTAAAGACGCTGACTATGGACATATATAAGTGTAATAGCTGGCCAAAATAGCCCAGAGTCGAATGAATAACAATGGCTAAGGGTCAAAGGTTATCCAGGGTCCGATGAAGATGAGTCTATTTAGCGATAGGCGAGATGAAGTTGTCTGAATGGTTGCGAGATTCTGTTGGCACAAAAAATGCTCGTGGCCAAAGCATTTGTGCGAAACAGTTGCCTACCAATAGCTTTACTCGCCGTTGTAGGCAATACTCTGGTTAATTATTATAGTAATGCTTATTTCATATTTGTGTTTAACTACCAGCGTTTCGTACTCTATCTCGAAGTGGCTCAAGCCAAAACAACGAGTCATTGTATCGAATAAGGGGTTTAAAATGTATTTAATGGTTAACTAGATTCACGATAAGGGTACGTCGTTAAATGTTGTTAAATCAATAACATTATTATACCTACTCTCGATACTAAATATAGTTAATTCCCGAGAACACATATGGGCTGTGATCGTTCAAATATAGCCGTGTACGCAGATATAATAAGTAGTCGTAAACGAACTATCAGTGTTTTCGATGAGAAACTATGATTATTGCTAAGCATACAAAAGTACGAAATCTGAATGCCAGCCATCCTAGACTCTAAGCGAATACGCTACAAAAGCACTGAAATTCTGAAATCACGCGACCTTCCATATTCCTCCGGGAAAGTCGGAACCTTATCACTGCATGTGCTTCCCTAAAATAATCACAAAATTTTCCGATCGCTGCAACTTACTGTGTACGAGATGGTATTACAATGGACCGCCTTATGTAGACCTCGCGCAGTCGTTCCACACGATCTTGATGATGACGGCAAGAAAGTACAAACTCAACAACGTCGACAAGTTGAACTTGTTGATGGGCGGCGTTACTGTTTTTTCAATGCCCCAAAGAAAATGATATCCGATATAACTAGACATGTAACTGAGAGCAAATGTTTTAAGCCTTTCTAGTTCTGCAACGATCGTAAGTAACCAAACAGATGAATAAAATTCTAACGAATAATGTGACAGATTGAAAATAAATTTAATTGTTTCTTCAAACAAATTTACCGTTTCTAGAATTGGTTAACTTTTTTCAACAAAAATTTAGGAAGATATCAATAAAGGTAACAAAAGCCCAACCACCTGACACAAGAGTGCGGGTCAAAAACTATCTGCCAAAAATACCGAGCACGAAATAAATAGTTGAATACTTCGATAATAATCTCATTTGATTCGGTGTGGAAGAGCTATCGAGTATAGCTATAATTAAAGCAAGTATACTTCGAGATGTTTGCTGCAGAGAAGGCAAATAAAGTATCAACCTTAGGAAAAAAAGTCATACTATTATTTGCTTATAATTGAAAGATCTATCTATATAGAAGAAGCTTTGTGTGTAGATCCAAAATACGGTTGAAAAGATAAAGGGGTAGACAATAGTAGATGCGCATTCAGTTATTCAGTAACCTACGTTTTTAATTTTTTACACTGCGAAGTTCGTCGTTGTTGAGATGAAAGCGAGGAAAAATACTGAAAAATCATATTGCATACTTCGTAGTGAGAACGCGGAGTGAGGGCAAACCCAGGTTGGTGCGTTGTAAGGCATCAACTAGATGTGAATACGCCATCAAATTATTTTGCTTCTAAATATAGCATAGCGACCTCTGAGTATTCAATTACACCCTTGCAGACCAGGTCCACTAGTGGCAATCTTCACAAGGTTTATATTTGTGTTTTTACATGCGGAGTTTGCGCAACGTAAAGGCAGCGCCTTCTAGCATAGAACGAGGTTTATTTATGCACTTTTATTATTATGAACTAGCCAGCCTAGTATAATAGATAATATTTAAGTGATCCTGACCAAGTTCATGATCCATGCAATTTATCGAATACGCTACGAAATAACGATACCGCTATCATTATTTTATGTCCATGAATAGTCGATGTCGTCGATTTCATAATCGCGTGCCTTCCTAGCCCCCCCGGGTTTCTTTCGCCGCTCCGCGAATTGCCCTTTCCACGAATAGTCGAAGCCTGCGGCGGAAGAATCACCGTCGCTGTTTTGGTTGTGCCATGCCTCACTGCTTGTTGTCGACAACTTGACTTGAAGCTCTGCAGTGGAGCAAAAACGCACGGGCCGAAGGTGCCCCCTGTGACCAGCAAATAGCACTTATCATTGGCGAAGCGCGCGATAAGTGGCGGCAAGCGTGTTGGGCTAGCTCCCGTAGCCAGAACAAGAGTAGTACCTTTGAATTAACTAGATCAGGTGTATAGGTTCAGTACCCCGCCGTCGGCATCCCAGAGGGCAGGCTTGACGGTGTGGTAACGGCAAGTAAACTGACCCCAAAAGTTGCCGTACGGAGGAAAAAAATTTGCTTCTTGTAAACGAGCAAGCACGGCTTGCGAAAAACAGATGTCACACTGATGGTTGCTGCATATTGATAAGTTTTTGGGTGCAAGTAGTAGGCAGCGACTAGTGGTTTGCCTGTCACGGGCAATTTGACGTTTACGAAGAAGCGATTTTGACGCACTGAGACAGCGAGTAGGTTTAGGGTAGAAGTGTTGTTTTAGGTATAAGTTTGTTTTGTGTCAAGTTAGTTGATGGTGAACGATTTGTGGAGATGGAGGAAATAGTCTACCAATTACGGTCCGATAGGCCGTTTGTCCGGGCAGCTGGCGATAAATGGTTAGCAAAATTGTGCTTAGCAGTGTTTGTTGTCGTCCTTGTCTCAGTAAATGGAACCAGTGCTAGCAATTACGAGGGTTGGCATGCGTGGGAAGTTGTTGGCACGGATAATGGGTGGCAAAATGGTAAGTTCTAAAAAGTTAACTAAATAGTTACTAGTCTAGTTTACGTTGAACCAATACGAAGGCTAGAAAAGCAGTTCTATTCGGTTGAAGTTCCTTCTCATCGCGCTCATCCTGCATAATGTTTTATTTCGATTTAACTTAATAAAGCAATGCTCAACCGATATAACGTAAATAGTCGCTTAACATTTGTTCGCGTCATACACGCGACGGCGTGTGTCAAAATGAAGAAAGAGCTCAAATTTTATGTCGTCATGCACCATGGTATGGGTTTACGCGCATGTTTCATCAGAGCTTTTCTTATTCTTCCTATTAGAATGGTAATTTAATCAAACCATTGTCTTGTATGAACTGATCTGTGGCCTGATATTATAGGTTGAAATAATCTCAATGTGTAAACTAGCAACAGTCAGTCGCTGTATACGACGTTCAATACATAAACGAGCTAAATCACGTTATCACGCAGCTGTCCGGCAATTTTTCGTAATTCTATAACATTCACGTTTAAACCCCATATATTTTCGCTATCTATTCAAAATTTTTACCTTTTTTGGTAGCATCGAGGAACACGCTGAGTTTTTCGTTGCCATTAGGTGTTTGCAACGGATTTCTCCGTATTATTAAAGCAGATAAGCACTATTACGCCACTGGATACTTTTTAATGTAGCTTTATGGAATTATAGTCTATCAATTTTCTGGTTACATACATGTCAAAAAGTACCAGATGGGCCCTTCAAAAGTTTGCATACGAAGCTCCTAAGAAAGGTCCCGGAGAAATGAAATGATAGTAAAAGGATTAGTCGTCCTATTTCAGCGTGCTCTTCCACGCCTTACGCCACTTCAGTCTGCATTAATTACAGTCTTGATATTTGGGAAGTTTACTCTAAGTCGGCAGGATATTTATTTAGTTTGTAGGACGCCGGTCCATCGACAGAACCACAGGGAAGTCCACCAACGAAATAATTTTTGTTGATTTAGCTTACTTTCCGATGGCCTAATGGCAGAAACAGAGGCCTTTCTTTGCATTTAGAAGGAAAGGCTAGCTGTTGTTTCAGAGAGTACCAATGACACTTGGATAAGATGATCTGTGAGCAACAAAACGGTAAAATACAGAAAAAGATAGACGACACTACGTAGCTTGGCTATCACGACCGTGCGGTTAACAAGTGTCTATAGGGGATAAAAAGTATGCGAATTTACCAACGAATGAGCTCCAGTCAAGGTTTCTTATCAGAGTTCCGACAATTAGCAGTTCTATGATAAGCATAGGAATTTAGCGGTACGGATGTGGCGGCTTTCGTTTAAACGAAAATTGCAACCACGACAAACTATGAAGCATTACGCAATTGGCCTACGACCGCAACTTCCGCAGAAGTTGGTCGTTTAGCACTCGTTAACTTTCGTTCCATGGTTAGCTAGAAACTGATTTATCTAAATACTATAACTGACTGACAATATTCAGTTTTTGACTATTGAACCGGACCAGGGTCTTAAAAAATAAACACAAATTAAAAATTATTTTTACATTACTGCTGTAATGGCGTTAATTGGCCTATTGAAAGTGACGTATCATTACATGCGCCTTCTTGTACCTCTGTATATTCGACCAAAAAAACAGTATAACGCCAGTTAACTGATCAAATTCAGTTCACATCGTCACCTTAACAATTAGCAGCAGATATATTTATAGGTCTATTTTATTCAAAAGATCCTGATAACAAAACGTTGTTTGTTCCCAGGGGCACAATTTTCTAAGGCCCGCGTTTCGTTACACTATCGCACCACCCGCTCGCCGCTTGTATCAACCCTAGCTCAGTCATACAGATCATTATGGAGGCGTACGAGTCTTTGAGCGGTCCACAACTCGCAGTCCATTATTGCAGTTGCTTAAAAAATCTTAATAGTAGGGACCGGTGAAGACATTGAGCCACTTCAATGGTCACCATTGGCGCTAAATTGTGGAACTTTTTTTTTTCTATTTTACATCAAAGCTGGCCATCACGTTACAATCACGGTCCATCAGATTCATGAGGCAAACGGATCCGTGTTGAACATACGGACGCTGGTGGCTATGGAGCCCTGTCCAGTGAATAGCATGGTTCTGTCAAGCAAACTGCTCTAGACCCAAATTGATGTTATTAGTATGGTGATAGGACACTCCCATAAGATACTGATCAAGACTGAAACGTTAATCAAGAGTTGGCAAAATCTATTCCAAGCATTTAGTGTTGGCTCAGCGACGAGCACTTAATGATCATTTATATTGCGAAGTGCAGATAGACAATGTTTATAGTTTGTTACGATTGTTTAGGTCTTACCAAAGCAGTGTTATTATTTGCAAGAAGCATTATCGGCGGCATTCTCCCTTTCGGAACCCGAATAACCTTACGAACAAGCCGTCCTGGAAGAATGACTGAGATGTTGCTCTCGACAGAAATCGGGTTAGCCTACATTCATTTCATCTTATGGGCTTGTCCTTCGTGGCTCATCAGCCTTGAAAACGGAGCCGCCACTGCTCTTGAGATGGTTCTCAAAGTTTCTCCCAGCCACTTGGGAGTCCAATCGAAGGCTTTGCTGACGTCAGTTTACTTCACGAAGTAGTACCTGAAGCAAAGACCACCCGTTATCAGGCTCTTTATTGAGAGATTCCACAGTGGATCTAAAGTCAGGTTGCTGATTTAATTGTTATTCATTTAAAACTATATGTGATGGATGGCAAACAGATTAATGGACGAAATGTTGCTCCATCTTTTAACTGCATGAGGAGGTGGGCAGACGATAACTGCGAGTGCTTTTCCCAAAAAGATTAAGTAAATTCAGGTTTAATTATGGCAATCGTAAGCAAGGTGTTGTCTTTTTTATTTTATTTAATTTAACATAAAAGACCTTTGACATCTTTGAGGCGGCGTCGAAAGTTCATGCCAGATAACTTGTTTACCCACATCAGCGTAACTGCTCCCGTCGAGAGATATTTTGCCCTACGTGGGTTTATGTAGGAGTCACGTGACGCATTAATTCGCTTAAATTAGTTAAGTTGATGAGCAAACACTTGTTAGTGCACGATCATGTTTAAGCACGGCGCCATTCCGAATTATTAGGAATTAAGAGTGCTCTGTAAGCATCTGCATGATTCGTGAAGCTCCCAAAATAAAAACTGCTTCTATATGAATGTAATACTATTTACGAATGAAAATCCTATTTTTTTTTGTTGTTTATTTTTATAAGTTGCTGGCCATTGTAGTGTCAAACTCCGATTAGATTAACACTCGGTTCATCGTCAAGCACCCCATCTGGTTCATTTCCGTTTCCCAAACGCACCTCTCTAACCCATACCCAGCGCGTCATCGGCCTGTCGTACAGCTTCTTACGGCGCGCACGTCTTGATCGCATCAATCAAGTGATAATTTGTCGCGTTATTGGAAACACGTTAAATGAATATTATCAGTATAATCACTAGTAATAAGGACACGTTATCTTCAAATGTGTATCATCTATCATTCGGACATTAGGAGCCTATTTACTAATACGATTCAGAGTAGGTCTATACGTCAAGAAGTGTGTGGGTGTACCTAACGAGAAAATTGTCAGGTATCCAATACTGGCCAGAATAATCGAAATATATAAGGTCATTACTTTATTACTGGTGGCAATTATCATTCCGTTATACTGTGGCGATGACTATCGCATGATATTGTATATTGTTCAGGTAGTAAGATATTTTCAACACGCATCTTCGTGTCACGTTTTCTTTTCCAGCGTGGCCAGTAGCAGTCATGGATACTTCCGGTTGGAATAATCAGGGTTGGCAAAAACCGGCGCCAAAATATAAAGTTCGCACTGTGACACAGGTTGTCAAAAAGGTAACTGGTATTCTTATTTAATGAATTTAAACTGTGGCGGCAAAGTTCAGTAGAGATCTTGTTACTGAAATCGCCATATACCTGTATCCCGTCGTCACTAGGAAACTCAACCGCTATAAAGCGTGACGTCGATGTTGATACAATGCTGCTCATTACAAAGATTTCGTATGTAGAGAAGGATGGAGGCAGTGTAACGAGGTTTTAGCCAGTTCATTAGAGCAACTTATCATTGGCTGACCCAGAGGTGCACAAATTGGCAAATATTCATGAGAGAGAGCCGTGCAGTTTCCCATTTGAGTCAGCCCATGCGAACGAAGACATAAGTCTGTGGCTTATAGTGTTACTCGCACAGGAAGTCGTGACCTCCTTATTTATGGCCAGGTTAAAAATTGGGCCAAAATAAATAGTGCCAGGTAAACTTTGGCGCAATTATTGGAAACGTTAACGCTTGCTCTCAACCCTAATTCACTAGAAAAGATTAAAAGACGCGTTGATCCACCTATAGACAATTCACTAGACGTTTTTATCGCACGCTACGTGTTCCGTGCCCACTTTCGTAGGTATTGGCCGTTTGTTTAGCTAGACGGCTTTAGAGTCACGTTTCGCTATATATGTCGTATCAGATTCGATAGTGGTAGTAGATGCGTTAACACTGGAATAGTTTTAGTCAGACTGAGAGGAAGAGTGAGATTTATGCAAAAATTTACTATATATTTTAGCATTGTATTTTATGAAAAAAGTGTGATGTTTATAGTAATGATGCATTAGCTGAAAAAGAAACTAAAAAAACCTCCTATTATTTTTGTCCAAATTCGAAATAAATAGTAGATTAATTACAGAGAAACTATCTCCAGCGAGCGAAACATTTACAACCAAACAGCTTTAAGCTATTTGAAGATGGCTTGACGCTAAATCGGCTCGACGTTTAGGAATTGACGCTGAAGAGTTTACTCGATCATATCTGCAAAATTCTATAAAAACGCAACGGAGTCGAGCTATTTCTAAAGCAGTTGATTACGGACTATGAATCAAGGATCACACACGGTTATACTATTAAAATATGGAAAAAAAAACGCGCTTCGTGATCTGTGGCAAAGCTCAGACTGATGCTAAACGAGGTGATTCTGTGTGTTATAGTGGGATCGGAAAGAAGTCGATCAGAACCTCTATTATTAACAACTACCATAATTACAATAAGCTATCGATAAAAAAACTGAACAGAATCCGTAAATAGAAAAGGCTATGCCATTCACTATAATAGTGAGATCTCGCATTATCACACATAGCTGTAATTACTCAGCAGAAAGTTAGAAAACTTAGGTAGGAAATATCAATATATCCGCCCGGATCTTGTTCTGTCCGACGATCACCTGTGTGGTCTCCACAAAACGAATTTAATTAGTGTTAAGTTAATTTCAATGAAGAATGAACAATTTTTCGTTCAAAAACCACAGAGGTTCCATAGTAGTAGGATGATGGTATTATAGGCAGAGGGCCATCGATCAAACTGGTGCATATTGAGCTCAGTGATATTACCTAGAAACATAAAAATATATTAACCCTACTTTTGGCTAGAAAACAGTCAATCTTCTATTCAGTTAACTCCCCTGGAACTTTGGATTGCCAACAGCCGTCATTTTAAGCCAATCAATCCCGGTAGGCAAATATAATTACAAGGCAGAACTAACTTTGATTATTCCTTCTACCAGCTTCAGTATGTAAATCATATACATATATATACTTAAACACATACATGTATTCATGTACATCCACAGAAACAGTGAATACCAGTGTAAACAGCATCACATGTTTGGCTTGTAAACGAATAGGAATATCATTTCTGTATATATTTATCTACTTGCCGAATGAATGAAGTATATCGCATGTATAATCTTAGCGTCAAATATACAGTAATTATATATTAGCTTTGAAGGACTAATCTGAAGCTTTTTTTATTTCCTATATCGTTGAAACAGGTACCAAAGAAAGTGACTCGCACCTACACAACCTATGAAGACGATCACGACCCCTGGATTTCATTGTATGTCAACAAACGCCTTAGGAGACCGACGATCATTTTAAACGGATGGGCGAAAGACGGAAAATTTGGCCTTAATGTTAACATTCATTAAAGGTATTTTTATCTACTGGCGTTGTAAATACTACTATAAATATAAAAAAAATGATAATAAGGTAAATGTAGATAGCGCCGATATGCGAGAAGCGTTCGATATTTATTGATACCTTTTGCCCAGTTTTAGTCATCGGGAGGTCAAGCGTTTTACACAATGCTCAATCGAGTTGACGATAAGAAGAACAAACATTTCAATCCGAAGCACGGTACAAGTCATGCTCGAACTACTAAGAAGATCCCTATTTGCCTGTTTGTTTGATCCCTATTTGTTGATCTTGATCGTGAACCCGAAGATTGAGCGATAAAGCGCCCGCAGAAACTTTCGAAGATGCTGCATGTTTTGAAACACTCAGGTAATTACTGAGTCTCGCTTTAGAAGCGAAGATAAGTTAATTTTTTTCCTCTGCTATACCACTCTACCACCTGTTCTTCCATGCTACATTTAGAAATATGGTTAAACCGTATGATACTGCGATTTCGATATGCCTGTTCGCAATAAACAATGAAGAGTGAACTTGAATAAAAGCCTGTCAGAATGAACGGTTGTTTCCTTTTAGCGTACGAGAATTGTATATAATCTATAATACTCTGTGATTGATGATTGCATCAGTATTGTTAGTCTGTTAATAACTTCGTTGCTGGTAACTATGAGGAGCCAGCCTCTCCTCGTTAGATACAGCCAGTTATTTACCGGCTTGATATCTAGAGCCCACAAAAGGTTCTGATTTTAGAGATGAGCTCCTAGCAGCTCGAGAGCTGAAGTTTCCTTTACTCTGGCCAGAAGATATAATGGACCAGCTTTCTCGACCTCACATTAAAATAGACCACCCCTCTATCTAAGACGCTTTCTACGGTGCAGAAGATTAATGACAAAAATAGTACATTTCAAATATATCGAAATGAGAACTTCGAACGTACCGCTACGACTACTACCCAAAGAAACGTAAAATAGCTGATTCGTTAAGAGTCAAATACAAGGTATAATCTAACATAAGTTTTTTCCTCTTTCATAACAATTTGTAAATATTGCGCCATTTAAAACGAATGAAGCTTTCCCAGTTTTGCGCGGATTGGCGAGCGTTCGTCGCACGTAAGACCATAGCTTTCTCCTGAATGATCACGGTAATATTAATTATTGGTCGATAGTTTTGGGATATACTCTTTTACCGAGCCCCACCTCCGATCGACAGTCGACAACGGTGGCGAACGGCGGGAAAGCAGAAGCCAGGCCAACTGCTAATAAACATTTTGCATCGATTGACAGTAATTTGTCTAATTTCTTTTAATATTCCGATTTTCTGGTGTTTTGACCTAAGTTTTCAAATCAACAAAGCACTGCAGTTAGAGATAAATTTAGACAGTTTATTCTAAGAATTACTTTCTACGGAACGGGTTTATGTCATTTAACGATGCAATGCTCAGAGACTGGAATCAAAAGCGAAAAGCCAAGTATAATGCTTGTATGCATGGTAATTGTATAACAGTTGTAATAACTATGCAATAACTTTTAAATGTCTTTAGGCTATTGTGATGTCAGCTAAAATATAAAAGCACTGTTCCCGGCAAAGTCGTCTTCGTAAGGGATAGTATCACATGTGGTACGAGTACTGGAAGATGTTTAATAATCTGTGTTTTGCCATTAAGCTACTACAGTAGAACACTAGCATCGTCTCATCCAGTCTGCTCATCCAGTTCCTCTGTACCACACTAAAACAGACAGCTTTACTAGGTAATTTACTTTGCGGTTACGGTGGTCCTCATCTGTATTCTTCTGACAGAGTCCGTTGAACTTGGCTGCGCAGGCATTATCTCAATGAAATAGGACTAGATACGTCCACGGATTGGTATAAATCAATCCATCTTTCAGCGGTACCTTTTCACTAGTTCGAAAAACGGGAAACGCTGTAAAGGTTAAAGATTCACTTTGACGTGTCGTAGCGCGTCAGAAGATCGAGCAGAAATCAGCGAGTACTTTTTGCTTGATCGGAACGTGTCGAACGAGAGAGGAAGTGTCTTTGTTTATTTTTTTTTTTTCATTAGAAATCAACAGCACACAAAGACCCACACGGGTAAATATCTAAAGCACAACCCGAAGGGACCATGTTCATTGGATTTCAATACTGACTTCGCAGAGTCGAAAGCTTTGTTTTTAATTGCTGGTAGCCGTAGTTAGTCCTCATCGTAATATAATTATTGTCTCTATTTCATATAATCGTGAAGCTTAAATAATACCCGCATATAATACAATCTTACGATCGGATAGTTCATGCATGTTTATTATTTGATTTAATCGCTTTCTATAGTGTTCGATTTTACATGTATACCAGAGTTGTGCTCATCGTCACGAACCACGAAAGGCATCAGCAAGGGCAAGGTGTGTTATCGTCGGGTGACGTTGAACAATATTATTGCAATAAACGGCATCATCGTACCGTCCCGCTGGTAGTCCGCAAGACGTTCTCATTGCCACGCAACTACTTGTACAGACTTTCATATGATCGTTAAAGGGATCCATCGCTGGGGCTTGATTGGCCACTTCGCTGGAAGCAGAAGTGAGAGCGTCTATTGAGACAAACATAGTAAATCATTAAGTTGTATTGCTAGCGTTATGGTCGTTAGGTCTTTGGGGCTAACGCATATGGCTGTTTTGCGACGCCGAAGATAATCGTACGTTTGTTCGACTAAAATGTGACGTCGTTGCGGCGTCTCTGGCGATGGCGAAATCGGCGCTGATCGACATCACGAGAGCCGATGACGACAGCAATGACGCTTTTCAATCGCATCAAGTAAGTTACTGTGCTTAATTGGGGCAAAAACGGTGCGCAGGCGTGGGGCACCATTAAGCTTGATTTAAAATGGATATTTGAATGGCACACCCAGTAAACGCTGCTGACACCCTACAGTAGTTGCATCTTGGATATTTCAGCCGTTCAACAGGGAAGCCTGGTTGGGATTTAACGGCGGCTAACACAATTGTCTTTAAGTATTTTGTCCAGACAGTGTAAAATAAAATGTCTACAACAGGAGTTAAATCCCATATTTGTACTATTCGTTCAGCGTGTGAAGCTCTTAGTGATCATGCTTCGGCTATCATATTTTTTTTTAATCTAAATGACGTGATGAAGATTCGCTATTGGGGATCTGAACGATCGTTCGTTTTTATGCCAACGAGGTATATCGATGACTAAAATTTATTCAGTGAAGAACTGGGAATCTGTTATTCTGTCAGGGCAATACAGTTGTGATAAGTTTAGACAATTACTAAAAAGCTACTTAGACCACTTCGCGTTGGTTCTCCCTGATGGTTATTCCATAAATAAATGGTAATAAAAACTATTATGGTATGTTAAGCGATTGAAGCAACATATTGTCAAACCGAAACTCAATCGTAATTTGCAGTTGTTATTTTTATTATCTTTAATAGTCGATTCCAACATCTTGTAAACCCACGTTACGTCTTGTTGTACGTGTGCAATAGGTATCATTGAAATAACTGAGGAACGTATACAGCAGTGAAGAGTATTTCAGGTTAGGTGCTGGGTCGAAGTAAGTCATTTTACCGTTATGGCGAGCTATTTGGTTGAGTATTGAAGGTAAGATCTAAGCCACAGTGTAGCGACGTGATACGAACCATTTTCTCAAAGACTGTTATAGGCACACAAATAAAGCTAAATGCAATGGCCAGGTGCCGCCTTTATTTTTACGATGCAGTGAACCTAATCAAAGTTTCGTTTAATAGAGAAGCAGAAATCACTTCTCCATAACTAACCCTGTTCCAATCAATGAATATTACTGATGTAAGCTGCCGGCTGTTGTAAGGGAATAACCATACTAAATATACTTCGCTCGTAAACGAGCGACGACGTGTCACGTATCACGTTCTATAAGCACATCGACAGCACCATTTCCTAGGTTTTGAAAATTATAGTAAGTTAACTTGTTTAAAGCAAGTTAATGCGGCTTATTTGATCTTCCATTACAGGCAGAATGCAATGCCACGTCAGTATCGCTCGATACGCATAGTACCCTATGTGTATTAGAAAATCAGTTACCGCTTTACGTGGAAGATGCCGATAACGGACACCGGGCGAACGAACGGTTGATAGGCCGAAATATGGACTATATTAATGATATTGAAAATGCCTATTATTTCGATTGATATCGATAGAATCGAGCAATTTAATTTAAATTTTACTTTACGGGCGCTTTAAATTAAACTTCGGTAAGTGAAAGTTATTAGGATGATACAGTAGGAGAGTTTTTAGAAGTGCGAGCATCATTTCAAGGTATCAAGCAGTAAACTTCAAGATTAAACAGCGGCAAAAAGTAACTAGTTGCCTCGGTTTTCCAATAGAAATATATCATTGGTTAAATAAAGTACGAAGGTGCGGTCTTGAGAGGTGCAGAAAATTTCAGTAACAGAGCGCGATTAACAGATATTTAAGTTCGTAGAGTGGCGGAGTCTCAGGTAATTCCGGATTTCGACTGCTACAAGATGTTGCAACAGGAAGTAGCGACAAAGGGATAAAATCTGTCTGTCCCTCGACTAAAGTAAGCATATAAGTCAGGACAATAACGGATGTTAATGCTACGTTTATAGAGCACAAGATAGCATCCTGCGCAGCAAAAGGGAAGTCATGTAAGTAGAAAACACAGATTAGTGTTTAGGAAGCTTGCTATGAATGCTAAAACCAACTAGCCAGACACGAGAGCCGAGAACGATTAAATTTTACTTGTAACGTATTTACGATTAGCAATTTCGCTAATCGTTGCATGCATAATACAGGAACTTCAAGGGGCCTCTTGGTGTAGCGAGCATCTGGCACGTTTACATACACGGGTACATACATTTTCGAATCTATCTGTAATATTCAGGATAGATACGCTGTTGTTCCAGAACGGAGTTGCAAGGCTAAAAAACTTTGACGTATTTCATCTGGCTGCGCTTCGCGGGGTTTCCATTAAATATTTTCCCATGGGTATCCTCAGGTGAATATGTCCTATGACAAATCAAGTTGGGAGTGACAAAATCTCAGCTTAAACGACTATTTTATACACAGCTAGAATTAGAGGTTATACACGATACGCTAGGCTACTCAGGACGAAAAAATGCTGGCAAATTGTATTCGGTTGTCGCGCTTTTATGTAACGCAACGGCTTTATTGAAGAGTAAGACTAATTCATATGGATATATGAAATGTGCTGGCATTGTAGCACAGCAGAACATTAGCAAACGGACACCGCATAAACGTAAAAGACGTTAAGAAACACGCATTTTACGTCTAGGCGTTCTTGATTGAAAACGAGCGGATTTTCGAGCCTCTGTCTGCGTCGAGCTCTTATTATCATATCCCAAAGTAAGCGGTGTATCGAGATGTCGCACAGAAAATGACTCCATAGACAAGCGTTGAACGCAAGTATGTGGAGAGCGACCGTTTAGAATGTAAGACAGAGTGCTCGAAAAGAAGTAGGGCAGGAGCCTAGCTTATGCCATTGAAGGCTCGGCAAACGATACTATAAAAGTGTGAATGGGAAGCTTGTGCATGCATGAATAGTTACGAAGCTTTTCATTTATGAAGTGGTGAAATTTAGTGTCGATAGCATGCCCACTGGTAAATGGCTACTCACCTAAGGGGGGTCAATAGTCGTCCTCTGGGGAGTAGTGAAACGATCACTGCCAACAAGCGGATAGAGTAACGGACGTTTTTAGTTATTTTATTAAGTTCCCCATACTTAACTGGCACGTCCAAACAGAACCTGAAACAAAGGCGATATACCTGAGAAGCTTGATTATTTTTCCGTGAATTAGAGGCCAGACAGGCTACGACTTAAGTGCCTTAAGCTATTTTGATGCATTTTAATGTAGAAACGCGAGAGTTTCAATTCTTTTGGCCTGCGTACACGCCCTTCGTGTAAATACTGCGGACATCCTCGACGAATTCAAACACGGGAAGTTCAGTCTTCTAGCCGCGCAGTTTATTTAAAGAAGCTTCGGTAGTTGATAACGCATAACGGTCAACCGTGTTTTCTACCATTGGTGTGGTTTTGCCCGCAAATACCTTAAAACCTGTGTCATAAGACGCTCCCTACTCGGAAGGTTTAATAGTGTAAAGCAGTTGTGCTTAAACCTTACCGATAAAACTACCTAACAACCTAAACAATTTGGAACAGTATTCGTTGTTTTCTTCAATTGTTATACATTCTCATCGTTTTCGAGCGATAAAAGCCAGCTGTTAGAGATTCTAAGCATCCTTTGGCTGAAGCCAATTTAACGAATGGTTTACAAGGCCCCCAGAGGTTGCATAGCACGTCTAACTATCTGCGACTTAAGGACTGTAGTAGTATCCGGCTTAAAAGTTCAATCTAATCAAAGCCGGTTGCGCTTGTCACTAGCTTTGTCCTACTCCTTCTTCTACGCCGCCTAATTTTGAAATCCATAATAACTTCTGTCCGCGTTACTAGTAATGTGCACATGACTTTTATACTTTCGTGGTTACATCTTTAACAAATTGCAACACTTATTTTAGGGGCCTCGTTTTCGCTTTTAATTTTGTCGACCATCAACGTACCCTTTGGTTGTTCCAGTTCCTGTATTCATCAAGTGTGGTGACAGCTAGATGCTGTACGCCGAATGCTTTCCCAATTTTCGCAAAGACGTCAGACCGTTTTCAGACCGTCCGTCCATTTCAGCGATTTCAACTCCTTATGAGTCCTTGTGTTTTACGTTAGATATTTCGCATTGCCATCGACGTGACTTCTCATTGCAGTTGTTCTTTTGGGATGACACGATCCCTTCTTCTTGCTATGGTCTACTGCTCTTGCCCCCCGTGTCGGCTCTATTCCCGACGACGTGTCGGGACTACAACGAATTACCCGGGTTGCTGCAGCCGTTGAAAGAGCTGCCTGTACGTTTCTGCCTCTGTCAATTCTTCTTTTCAGTTAGCTATTCATCGCCATCGCTGCAGTTCTTGTCTCTTGTAGCAGTGTTTCTCTCTTTTTTCTTCCTTTTGGCTTACGTTCAATCGCAGTGCACTTACACAGTCAGCCCCTTACGATGGTTTCGATAGGCCTGTAAAAACGACAGATATCTGGGACAACATAATGTCTCAGGCCCCGTCCTCAGAATCGTCGCCTTGCTATAGGGAACAAGCGAGAGAGGACGGGAACTCGCTTTGGAATGAATTTACTGGAGGTCCACGGATGCCGACTTGAAGTAACAACGCTGGTGGCTTGTACAACGGGTTTCGGGTATTGTCCCCTATGGGATCTTGTTTTGTTATGGTGCCGACAATGAACTCCATGGGGTTGCAGTTGTGAGTAGGCTGTTGTAGCGGAAGCGGGAGGCGTTTCCAAAGAGCGGGTCGAGCGTTCACTTAACTTACTGATATATTAGCGGGTACGCTTGTCGGTGTATTTAGGATCTCTGCTATGTATGTTTGAGTTAGATCTTGTAGTCCTAGGTAGACGCATGGACTACCGGACGTGTTCGTGAAATTGGCTCAATTGTTCAAGTCGTTTACAGCGTTTCCGAGAACGAAGTAAATAGGTACTTGTTCTATGCCGTTGAAAATGGTGCAGAAGCGATGGTGGGTATTCTGTGTTGTGATTAACAGTTCTAATAGTTGTCAAGCGACCTTCCGGTCTGTCGTATTTTACAAACTCGCAGTTATTATCGAATCACAGTTTCTTGGCAGCGTGCCGTGACCATGAAGAGGAAAGGGAAGGGCAAACTGTCTTTTGGTGAACTTCGTTCCGAATGACTTAGATGTCGTAAACAATGGCCACGCTTTTTTCGGCCATACTTCCATTTGTACTTTTTCGTAACCTACTGAGTTTTGCAATTTTGTATGTACTCATAAATATAGATATATTTAGAATTTGTTAGTTGGTAAGTGTACGATAAAGTTTATGATTAGTTTTAATAGGATGGCGAGTGTATCAGATCTTCAGTGACCAGTCACTCAACTTGCAAGTCATGAATAAACTACGTCCAAGGTTTATTAAATTGATGTCTTTCCTGTAGCGGAAACGAATAAGAAATCATGTACGACGACCTAATCATGCAGACGATGCAGAAGGAAAACTTTAATATCGTCTGCAGTGGTTGAGTAGATAACATTAGCTTATCACAGTGTTAGTAGTAGTAGTTGGTTTACAGTTCGGAATTGAGGCATTGTACTGACGACTCTCGACGCTTCGCTACGATAACTGCAGTTACTACAGTAGTAACTTGCCCTGTACTAACAGCTGCGGCTATTTAAGTGTTACGCCGGGTCCAGTTGTGGAAAAACAACACAGGGTTCTTTGCAGGAATAGGAAATGTTTTTTTTTTTTTTTTTATTTATTTACGATATGTTATGGTCATTTGCCAACGAGGCGTCACCTTACGAACGTATAGCCAATATGCTACTCCTAGATATGTTTGTTCTGCCTGCCAGCTTAGCACAGCTCTGTGTTTCTCGCTGTGTGATGGGTTTCATGCTGCATGTAACGGCATCAGATACAGAGACTCACTTTGTAATATAGTTTACTACTTTTTTTTCTTTACTATTTACCTTTCTTTTACCATTGTGTTGAACAGCACTTTATCTAACTCGTCATTTTACCCCAATATCCCCCCCCCCCCCTCCCCAGCGCAAGACAATTTTTATGCGACAATCCTGCGCTATCGCCTTAATTTGTTCGCGTCACCGCTATCATACTCGTCGTCGTTTAACATCACTCTAACCTATCGGAATATTTAGATTGACTAAATTCGCTGAACTGTCAAAGCTTTCCTATTGGTCCTTTGTTGTTATTCGCTGGTAAAAGTCGCTTACGGTGAAGGGAATTGTGAGTTCTTCTTTTGACTCGCGCATTTCGTATCGACGCGCTCTTGTTATAGCCGCTACTGGCACTGTATAAGTACCATTTTCAATATGTGATACAAATATTGTGATATGAACTTCAAAGAATCTATCAGTGGGTGTTGCATAGCATTGCCGTTTATAAAACCTGGTTGCCTCCCGTCTACACGAGTATATATAGAGCCACAGATGGCTGCTTACCGAGCGAACTATTCGTTTGTTGGCGTTGCACATGATACCCATAATATCGCCAGTGGGTACTCTTTTCCATTTATCTGGGTACCCTAAATGTAGTTGTCTCATTCTGGCCGCAGATAGAAAAAATGAACGACTAGCACAATCTATTGCATATATCTCCAACCAGCTGCAAAATATTTAAGGTTATGGTATATTTACGCTTATTTTTGGTACGGCTGTTCATGCTATAATGCGGTAGCTTCAACAAATCATGCGACATAGGGTCGACCGGATTTTTAAAAAAAATAGAAAAAATATCCGGATTCGATTGGAAACTGCCTTAGTTCATGACTACCCCTTACGGATTTTGTACGTTGTAGGTAGCTAATCATTAGAATACGAGATTACTATTAATACGGTAGTAGCTAATAGTTGTACGGAAAAAAAGGTTCGAAATTCGATGCGATTTAAAGGAGAAAACACCTACCTGTCTGATGTTGCATTTCAGAATATTTGTTAAATACTCTATATGGGTTTTTGTTTCATTTACACGTAAGTAAGTTTGTACCATGTTATTTTTAATAAGCTAATGTACATTGGTGTAATTTTTTGATCTCACACTGATATCCACAGCTAGGCTAAAGCATCTTAGACAGTTTCTGTTTGCCCCGACCATCGTAGCTCTATACTTTGTGATTTGTCGTCTCATATGCCCTGGGCTTGGTCCCGCTCCAAGCTTCCATCGTAGGCGAAAGGGTTTCTTAGCCAACAAAAGACCTAGTAATTGTTGTTAGCATGATGCGCCTTTTTTATCAGTACGAACAGCGGCTCAGCACACACTCTTATTTAAACGCGGTTTCGCAGCCATTCATCATCGAAACGGTACGCCGCATGTTCGTCCTCTGCTTCTTCGGCTCCGTTAAGCGACGACCGTTTGCCGTGACCTTTTCAGGTTACAAAAAACAAAAAAAAAAAAGAAACGCATTAGATGAATAACACTTGACGCAATCTAATTGGTTTGGATGATAGATGCACCTAAATATAGACACGTTCGGGTAACGTATACTTTTGATACGTCTTTAAAAGTACATAACAATTGCACAAAAAGATTTCGAGAGCCTATTATTAAAATAGACCTATAGCTTATAATGGTTACAAAAGGGTTTTTGCATGTGAGAGGTCGACCCACCTCCAAGGCATGAATGCCCGTAAAGACGACAGCTGTCAGCAAGAGCATTTGGTTGCCGACCTGCAAAATTATTTTGCCGTTATATACATAGGTAAATCGATATATTATGCCCGTACACCGTAATTATATTTATATTAAATTTTTTCAAAAGCCATCTCAGTAGCGAAAATAGGGAATTGTGAAGGAAGGCCATTTAATAAGCGACCTTATTTAAAAACGACGTTATCGAGACGTTGTTTTGCCATCTTAGTTATTGTGTTTACTCTTATACCCAGCTTCCTTAATCTCTCTAGTTGAAAATAGATCATCGAACTTCTACGATCAGTATTAAAGTGTGAGTGTCGAAACCTTCGCGCGTACACACCACATGTATATATATGTCGCCGTGGAACGCGTAAACATTTACGATTCATATATAAATAGTATTTCCATTCTATGAAGTATTAACGCAATTTTAAACCTAACACCCTAAAAGTTATACACAGCAGACGTTGTTACTGGTCTGTTAGGTGGTGGTTTTTTAATATCGACGTGTGTTGGAAGCTGGGGAACGGGATGATTCACATAAAGGCCATTACTACGCCCTACGTTAGTCTAACCAAACGATGATAGAGCCCGTAACAGTTCCATAAAAATCTGCTCTTTTTACTATTTATATCGATGAATATATGGTATATCTATTACGCGGTCTTTCACTTTAAGCTAAAGTACGTGGCAACTATACGTTTACTACTTAAAGGCAATATCCTTTCGCGTAATAACCCATTTGCTTGTGAGTACACTAGATCATATTCACTACTGAGCATGAATGGAATAACGTAACAACGCTACCCTAAGTCGTCGCTGAAACCGGTTACAGAAGACTATTTAGAGCTGTTCTTACGTCATCTAAAATAGGACTATCTTTCGCCTGCAGAGTGGTTTTCATGGAAAGTTAGTAGATTTACGGTTCCTTTACATAGCGTCCAGAACCCATTTCATAGTCACATTAGCTTCCTTAACCCTTTTGGAGGACTGGCAGTTCTTAGACAACTTTGTTTTTCTTTTTTCTGTATAAATTAGTAAGTTACTGCCTTTAGTCGCTGCGTCGTTTATAGACTAGCAGGACACACAATCGTAGGCTTGAATCACTTGCGAATGCTGAAAGACCTCATTTAGGTCGCACCATGTTGCACCGGCGTTAGTTGTTCAGGGGTCAAAACAAGCGAAGACTAACGTGTGACATTGCACAACCTGAGGCGCCCATCTTGGAAGGAGCAGAGGTTGCCTTGACAAACATCATTTTAAGTCTACGGAAGAAGTACTCTAAAAGCAGCGCTATGATATGAAGTGGAGAGTGTATGATCATTTTGTCATTAGCCTGATCCGTGAGGACAATATAGTCTATAATCAAATTAATCGATCGAAGCTGAGTAAATTAATTACGGCTAGCTGGAAATTATGCACAACTATGTTAAAGAAAATTGCTCATCATGCCGCCACTTGAATAAATCTATGGACAAATTGTATCAAACTGCCTATATTTTTTTAGTAGGTATTCCTTTGTAGATATCTCAAATGAACTCAGAGATGCTAGCAGACGCTAGAAACCAATAGGAGGCTACTGGGCGTTTGATCTGTAAAATGTAGACATCGCCTTGAAGATGTATGGGGTCATTTACAAGCTACTATTGTGAAACTGGGATGAACGTGTGCACACGTGGAGCATGCTTTGCCACTTTTGAAATGATGATGAACATCTCCATATTGAAGGCAATACTTTCGATGAGATATGATGTATCATTTGTTTTAAAGGAACAAGCGATAAATAATAGGATGGCCTTGTTGAAAAGTACACCTAATGCCGATAAAGTCTCACAAGCAGCATTGCTTCGGCTGCCCATTTACGAAGTTCTCATTCGTTGCGAAGGTAGTCGCATGTACTATTCATGATCACACTCGACCTGTAGCCTAACAGCTTCAGTTCATGTGACTTAAACTTATATGCCAGCCAATAGCTGGTTTCTCTGTCAGCTTGTCCCGTTCGCTTCTTTTGCATTGTAGTCTTCAAGGGTCCATTATTTTGTCAGGCGCAAGAGACTCGTTTGAATGCGGTGTCTTGGAGTGAGCGTATTCGCTGCCAGCCCGTTGTCCTCGAACCTGAGATTAGTAACTATGCCAATGGCCAAAGGACCAAGATCAAAAGCAATCAAGCAGTCGGTTACACATGGCAGAATCCCTAGGGTAAACAGCAGTAGGTTTACTGGGCAGCTGCAAAGCCATCGAAGTGAAATCAGCAAAGCTGAACTCGATGGCATACTCTGTGTTACGCAGTAATCCGTTTAGATAAGAAATTTTAAATTGTTTGAAAGTTTAAAATGCAAAGTGTCCATCGACTTACTTTGCAAGTATGATCGTAAAACGCAGACAGAGACAGATTGACACCAAATCTAACGTCAACGTGATTAGTAATGGGTGGAAATCTAAAAAAAAAACTCTTTAGAGGAATACAATAATTTTTTCCCCAAGATTGTTTACATCGAAGTAAGTCAAGAGTTTTTACGATTTTTTTTGCGACAGTCGATTTGCATAAATAGGATTCAGGGCTGTAGCTACGGCAGGTAATATCTGCGGCTTTGATTTTCACAGAGAAAGAACGTCGCGAGGAGACGTCGTATATTTGGTAATTGGTATGTAACGAAAATTTATCACTAGAATCACTTTGAAGTTTTTCAAAATTGTGTTTCCATCAAAGAGTTCCTAACACTCACATTATTTTTTAGTTCTTTAACAACTTTATGGGAGGAATACAAAGTTGAACAACAATACATAGTTAGAAGCGACTTTTTCTTGGCCAGAAATGTTCGCTCGGTTTCCGTAAAAACTTCTATACTTCAAATATGTCACCCTATAAAAGTTGAAAAACGGCGGGTTTTCAGAAGCAGAGAACACGGGACAGCCTGAAACAATTCATACCATTGTATAGGCTGTTTTTTTTTCAAACAAATTCACCAGTTAGAGAGGTAATGCTAATTTTTTTATTTTCATATGAGCTATAGTATGGTAGCGATTATGCTATAATTAGCTGTGAAAGTTGATAAAAATAACTATTTCGGTCAATAGGAATAAGTGAGCACCAATAAACTGTCTAGGCATAGTAATTGGTTCCGATAGAAGCTTGACTCAAATAAAACGTAAATATAACTAGTGTCAAACAAATAGCTTGTATCAAATAATAAACATTTTTCTTTTCGCTTATTATTAAGCATGAATATATATATATATAAATAAGGTTCTACATTTTCAACATAATCTGTTCAAATACCGTTTTTACCAAAATTGTAGGACTTCTTCTGTATGCATTCGTATAAATATAACGTTCGTGGGAAAAATTACGTCTGATCAGGATGCCATATATGAGAATACGTTGAAACTAATGCGAAGATCGCTGCAAAGTGTTTTCGTGCAATAGATTGCCCATTTTAGCAGTACACACAAAAGTTTTGCAGAGGGCAAATTTATTCTTGGTATAACAGTAGCCCGGTTGGAATGATAGCTGCTAGCAAGCTAATAATGCCGTTAGTGAATCAAGCTATTACGGAGAATGCGTATGTACGTTAGAGCTAGTCAAAATGATACATTTGAATATAAATTTCAAATATGAATTGAATCCCTACATAAATAGAACGAACGTGCCCATTTACATCTTCGAGCATTTAATGCAGTCAAGAGAGGTGAACTGCTTGCAGCTCCGCTCCAAGTCGATAGATTTTTGTAATTCTGTGTCCCCGTCTAAACGGTAAATTCTCTCTGTATATCTGGGCTTCTTCACTGGTTCAGCCCAATTTGTAGTGCACAGCTCAAACTGTTTCTTACCTCTAACCGATAGTGAGTCAAACTTTTCGATGATAGCGTCATCGCGAACTCAATCATAAACTCGACTTTCATATCAGGCAAAGGCTGAGGGTTTAGCATACAAAAGGCAAAAGAAAAAGATGGCCAAAAAGCTATTCCGTGTTTCACTATTATTATTATTATTATTACTGTACTAGATACGATTCGAAAGAATTTTACAACCGTCATATATATATATATATATATATATATATATCTGAATTGCAAGAGACTGGAGTGTTTTTATATTGCCAGTATGGATGCTATGGGTCCGTCGAAAAGCCATCAAAACTGGGTTACCGCAACAGAGCGAAAAATAAGAGAAGTGAAAGCAAGCGGATTGTCTGTGGCTAGTTCATTTGATATAAGCAACATTTTCAATTGTCTGGTATATTAGGTGATGATTGACGCATTAAAGAGCTGTCCCATGACTTCGAAGATTAATCTCCCGTAGCAATAATATTATCATTTATGGGAAGAGGAGTTTGCCACGATTGCCAGACTACCTCATGGGTCATTAAATTGACCCTCTACTATGAAAGATGGCTTATAATCTCCTGAAGCTTTAGAGTATGTGGATAATGTAGCCATCCTAGTACGAATCGTTCTAATAGTTGGAGACGTACGAATTACAACCATCCTCGGAGAAGGAGCTATTGATTGAGAGACACCTATAGACGAACAGCCTGTGACGGAACAAAAACGAAAAGATAGAGTTAAAACTCCTGAAGGTCTAAAGGCTTTTAATGATAAGAGAGGCGAATGCCGCAACTACTCTAATACGGCTTACACTCGAGCTAACTCTTATTCAACAGAAAACCAAGTTGTGAAACAATCCAGCACTAGAACAAAAAGGGCAAAAGAGCAGACCATCAAAAAGTAGCAACAAGAGTGCAGCATGTCGTTAGAGGATTTGGTAGAGGGCGCAGAACTGTTGTTGATGGATCTCCGACCTGACCAAGTCGTTCAGCGGGAATCCCTGCGCCGCCATTTACCACTGAAACAAGTCCTTACTGGATGTTCGGGAGTTGCTAAAAATACCTGCATAGGGCAAAAGTAAGTCTGAATATGCCATACGTGTAGATTATTACGCAGGCGCGGTTGATAACGTGACGTACTCGATCTTCTATAATCCACCCCTTGAGGTCGCTTTCTGAAGATCTGATCTTCTCCGGATGAGGCATTAAGACAGTAGCACAGTTTTTGGTCGGCCTAGTTGAGGAGCGCAACTTTTGTACAAGCAACAAGGTTATTAAAGGAAAAACACGTTCGAAGGAGAAGAAATGGAGGCCCGGGAAGGATTCGGTCAAAACTAACATAGACGGAAACGACAACTGACAACTCTAGTATGATCAAACTCGGTGAAAGGGCTGTGTAGAAATAATTGCGCTACCACCCGGTACGAAGTAACGTGCAGACGGTTCTAGAATAGGCCTAGAATATAAAGAATCTAACAGTTTGTCTTCTGTAAAAAAATATCATTATTATCTCTTGTCTCTAGGCGTTACTAAAATACCTTGTTCTTACTATAGCGCTACCCTACCCTACCCTACCCTACCCTACCCTACCCTACCCTACCCTACCCTACCCTACCCTACCCTACCCTACCCTACCCTACCCTATAGGTCCAGGATCTATGTTAAAGAGATACAGTACTCAAATGGAAAAAAAAACTGATTAATTTCTATTCGTGGATATTCGTATTGCTCACTTACTGCTTCGCCGTAGCAACGCAATGATTCGCTTCGTGTTGAAATCGCGGGGCGCCTCATTTCCTGAAGTAGTGATAAATATCAATGAAATTCCAGTGATCAAAAATCCTTCACGCAGAAACACAGAGACCGACTTTCACAGAGAAAGCTAGTAGATATTCGGTCAAGCCATTTGATCAGTGAGAAGTTACGTATGCTGACCCTAAGGCGTTGGTGCAAAGGGTGCGTAGGAAAATTTTTGAGTATTCACTGAAGATATCATGCAACATTTACGCATGACAAAGTATTGTTTTGATGCGTCGTTTATACCAGCTTCATCAGACCTTCACCAGGATCTATAGGTTTACTAAAGGTCACTAGGATCAAAGACTTCTGAGCAGCGATACCTTCAGGTTTGGCAATTTCTCTAGCTATAATAACGACGTAAATTAACCTAAACACCCCGTGCACTATTCTATTCGTTCAATTAGATTTGGCTATTTTTCATTGAGTTGAATTTTTAATGATCTCCTGCTTTATTCAGCGCATCGGAAAGACCTGTCTTGATATGTACGCATATATCCTCAAATCGAACGGAAACGACCCAAATGAAATTTAAAGGACAGCATGCTACGAACGTTTGGGATGTTTCGAAGGCCAGGCTAACGGTTTCTATAGCCATTCAATGTTCAGGTTTTACGCATGACTCGAGTGTTGCAACACGCGATTGAAGCATGTTAGTTTGAGATGCTCCAATACGTTAATTGTATATTGATTTGTAGAATGAAATAGTGTATTTACTGAGGTCGGGAAGCATCAGACTGGACACGCAATGCGATAGGATGACATTTAAAAAATTTATCGCGTGCTCGATACATTAAATAAAGCTCCCGACTTCCGGAGCGTTTATTATAGCTGCTAAAAAAGCCGAGAAGGTCAATATTGTTAAACTAAATCTCAATAGTCGATAGAGTGATTTGCGCTTGGTATGGTATTTTATATCATAGGGATATAGACAAAGCATGCGCTGGAAATTAAAAAAAAAAAAGTTATTTGTTCCAGTATCGAAAAAATATAAAAGACATCGATTTTCACCCACAGTCACGCTCTGACGGATGGCGTCATGATGCCTATGAGGCCATTTATTGTTTGCATTGTTCTGCGTGCGAATTTCGACATACTCTGCGGGTAGACTACTATTTTTCACGGCCAGGATACTAGAACGTTAGGGAAGCGGGCAGAGCAACTAAGCAGCAACAAAAGCGATCTATGAGCCGAGACCTGGTCTTCATTGGATTATTAGCTTGTCAGGGCACGCAAATACTACTTGAGTTGGTATACCTTACGATATGTATTAGCCGGCTACACGTTAGCAGTATAGTACATATAAAATATATAATAAAATATAGAATAATGTACATATAAAAAATGATTAAATTTCTCCGTTACGACAGATTTGTCGTTGGTACAGTGAATGATTTTTTCGAATCTACGAGGGCGGCTTTCGTGAGATCTTGTCCAATACTTGCATAAAGTCAAATGAATGCTATGGTAGTTACTGGACAATTGCCCAAGGGGCTTTACGGTAACAAGCGTCTACGCATGCATACATAAATACAGTAATAGAACATGGACTCACATTATCGTTGCAGTCGAATATGGAGATTCACATTATCTATAAAACTGAGGTTTTCGAACGATCACACTAAAGAGGTGGTTTGTTAAAAATATTCCTAGGTTTTGCTATTTCATTGTTCAGTGTTGAATGGTGTACGTCAGATACAGACTTTAAGGTCATACGTCAGAACAGAGTATCTTGAATTTCGAGCAGTCGTAAACTTTGAAGAAAAATGCAGGTTTGAGGCCTAAGATAATTAGAGGAACACGAATAGGAAAAAAAGTTGCCGTTTTTTCGATAGGCCACATAAAGTACAGCCGTGAACTGTCTTAGCTTCAAACCACTTCACAAATATGAGCATTACAATGAACACTGTGTAATCTAATTAACGTAGAAAAATAAAACACAACAACAATGTGGATAATTTGTCAACGCGGTAACTTTATTACACCTTATAAATCTTGAATGAGCTTATTTGTTTTCTCGAAGCTCGCATAAAGATCATCGGAGATATTCAATACTTTAGGTAACGCAATAAAAATAAACCTGCTTCAACGGCCTGTTGCTTTGCGATTGTTTTTTAATGACATATTTATTTTTTGTCATCAAAAAACGTATTGAGTGATAGTAATACCACAAAGATAATTTCTAGACTAGTTTGTATACAATGTGTGCGTTTTTACGCCGACTTTGGTGGACTATAGCAACTACAAGTAGATAAATGGCTCGCGGTTTCGGAGACTCTACCTTACGTTAAGTTACAATCGGCATATGTGAATATTGTCCAATTTATCCAATTTATTGTCCAATAAATTTGTTTCGTCGTATTTAACTAAGGATTTGTGCGTTGATGTTTAAAATCTACGTTTGCTACCTTGTGCATGGTCCAAATAGTAACCTCGGGTCAATCTAGCACGCTTGGCAAAAACCGGATTACCGCGTTAACATAACCTGCGCTCATGCAGAGTCAATCCTAACCGTCGCTATGTCAAAAACTATATATTCTCATAATGTCCAGCGCGAAAACTCTTCAACTGGGCTGGTTTGATTGCGTTTCTGCTGTCCTTCTTCACTTCTGTACAGAAAAAGGTCTTTATAGCCTTTCGGCTTCGCAAGATTAGGAAAAAAAACTCTTTTCAGCAGTGGCCTCTCGTCGTATCGACTAAGGCTAGAACTAATAGAAAATTATATTGGATATATATATATATATATATATATAAAGAATGTTTGACATAATCATAAGTAAGGTTGACATGTCCTACACGTATAAATACATTAATTAGGACCTTGGGGCAATCTGTCTCGGGAAGATATTACAATAAATATGTATTAAATAGCCATAGAGCCAATGCGCAAAAAGGGAACAGTAAACGACAGCTATGCGTGGGGGGGGGGGGGTGCGCACGTAATTTTATGAAAATTTTCTTTTTAATCAAGATGTATTCAATCATATATGACTGGCAATGTTATTATTTTCATATGCCAAACGCCTCGTTTGTGTAAATAAAGTTGTTATTCAATTGAATAGCACTACCGATCATCAAGTTAACGAAATAGGTGTAAAAACAAATGTCGGAAAACGTATTATATTTATCTTATTATTACTATTATATTATTAACGTATTATATACGCAGGTATTATTAGTTTTTAAATTATGTAATAGATTAATCATGTCAGTTATATAAACGGAACGACCTGTTGTTACACTGTTCCGACATATGCGGGTCTACTTCAAGATTTTGGCCTTATAGTTATGTAAGTCAGATTTAAAGCGTAGCGCTAAAGGGCACTATTGTACGGTTTATATAGAGTGGATTGAGGGGTTTACAGTTAATGGGTTATCAGCAACACAATTAAAGCTGAAATTTAGGACAATTTCCGATAATCCTCAACCTCGTTGGTGCAAATCTTAGTCCGATGCTTTTTATTTGAGATGAACAAAGCACATGTACCCATTGAAATACGCCGAGTATAAGCAGAGAAAATCCATAGCTTGTCTGAGGGTTTTTATTAAAGGTTGTTTTTTAACGAAGTATCTGGCCTACATTATTGTGAATCTTGTCACCTTTTAGATTAACATGCTTGCCAGCTGATATATTAATGTAGGTCTTGTTGCCACGAGGTGACAAGCGTCGACGTGGTAAAACATGTAATTATATTTTAGCCTTCTGGCCATTTGCAAATATGGCCTTTACTTCTGCACCGTACTTATTGAATAAATATTCGTTTTTACTGTCGTTTTTTTTCTATGATCTAGACGTTTTCAGTTTTTCATCATGCAGTTATTTTTCTTAGCAGCGCAAATGTCATTAAATTTCCACTCATTAAGTTCCCAAGATTGGTAAACTCTTAAATGGTATACTCCGACTGATTATTATTGCACCAAAGAGAAAATACTGTCCGTTTCGGGACTATTTTTGTTGATATGTTGTAGGCCTTACAAACATAATGTAACATCTTGTTTAGTCTGGTCCCTCTCCTCAGTAGATGGCTTTCTTGCATCTTTACAAGGGCACTTGTCTAAGTTCTAACTGAACTGTATGGCTTTCCCCTGTGAAATACCGGAGTGATGTATGCTGACCTAAAAGTAACCTATAATACTGGTAAATTTTACTAGCTCGTTTGTATATCCTAATTTTTTTTATTGATGGGGTTTGTTTACCCGAATTTGTCCTAGTTGAGCGAATAGGCACCGGAAGACAACGACAGCCTAATTTTTGCGAAAAGGAAAACGAATACATGTATGTATCCAGTCGAAGTCGAAATCATACGACTTTTCCATTTACTTAAGCTGCGCACGTAAACTATCAGAAAGATCTTTTGATGCACTTTCAAACCCCTCAGTTGACGTAGATGATATCTATCTCAGTAAAGACAATCAATCGGTCTTTCCTTCAAATGCGTTTAAAGCTACATCGGATTTGCTCAGCTATATACTATTCGCCGACCTCGACCATCGTTTATTTACGACCAAAAGCATTGTCTAGCCTGTTGCACAGTCTGAGCTCTGCCTTCAAAATGGCCACATCTGCGTGTATACATTTCTCAAGTTCTCCAGTCTGGTGTTGGCCCTGATGAATGCCTTCATCGAAAGGAAATAACCTCTTCTTGCCTAGACAGAATCTTGCTATGTAGACAACACTTTTTCTGTTCTCCCAGCAGTAACGGTGATTGAAGTAACGTTCTAGCAGCTTGGATAACGAATGTAAAACACGGAAAGGCTAGCATGAACCTTAGAACTGAATTCTGACTCGAACAAAACAACAATTCTATCGGCAGGTTGGTACAATGATATTACTCATCACGCAGACTGGGCGTTTAACTTTTTGAGTTATTTAGCGGTACGGCAGAGACTCTTCACACTTTCATTATCCTTCTGCAACCGGCGGGTTCGATGCTGTATTGTGGAACACGTAGTTACTTTTCTATTCCTCGAGTTTCGTGCAGCTGTAGTTAAACGATTATTGTAAACTATAAACGTTGATGAAGATAAAACATTCCGCAATCGCTCCTTTAATCGTGTATCGGAGCTTATGCAGTCGTCCAATAAGCCGTTAATGAAAGCCCAACGAGCGAAGATGAAATACGAACAATCGATAACGAATGGGTCGCTGCGGGTAGCATACTTTTCGAGACAGAAGATTTATAATTGAACCGAGACCCACTGTTTGATAAGCTGAAAACCGCCCAAAAATGTAACCTGCCGAAGTTTTTCCATACCAACGGCCTACTTTTATTGTACTATATATATATATATAATTACTACTACTGCTGCTACTACTAGACAGTCAAACGCAGCAATATTCGTCAACGGTTCCTACGACGTTTCGAATAATGTCATCGTTTATTTGTCGAAAAATTATATTTGGGACTGCCGCCTGTTATACGGCCTTTTTCAATATGGATTTTTATTTCTCCTTTGGTACCTTGCGTGACGTGGGGATGACTTAGTTTGGCTATAGGTAAACAGCCTTTTTGTAATGGGGTTTCGACAATAAGTGATAGTGCGACACTCGTTACCTTTCGCAATTCTGGTGCTTGGTTCCCTTTCAACTACCAGACGTTGGAACGTAGTTCTTTGGAAGTTACACCGCACCCTTATTTTGCTTATTTTAAGACTTAGTTTTTGTCGAAAGTTTCGAAACTCCGCTCTGCCTTTTTACCCTAGTTTATTGATGCACATGGTGTGTGTATATGTGCGTACTGTATATATAAAACAACTGTTTTTCGCACACACAGTGTAGTACAAAAGGATGGGTCTGACCCTCACTTACATGAACAAAGAAATAAATACATACACACATTCGCTGCAAGTTCACGTCATTGGGAATATATGAATACAAAATTAAGCCTTGTAATAAGATGCATGTGAATTTAATAATAGGTATATTTGAGGGCAAAAGTGTATCTAATAAGTACAAAGTTATCAATCAACTCACCGTAGGTAGCCCCCGAATCGGCGGCTGTGGTTTCTCCCATAAAGCTAATTATGAACACGGCAGCGATGAACAGGACGATAAAAGTATTTGATGCGAACGGCCTCATTCTTTCGTGTTTTCCTCTTTTTAAGCAAGAAAGCTAGTGCTACTGAAGGCTTTCCTGCCACAAACTCGGTGTTAACACCCGTAAAGCTGTGAGGACACGAAGCTCCGCAAGCGACTTAGATCTTACTTTTCGTTGCGGTCACAACTGAAAGCTAAATTGATAAAAAGCTGCTGTTAATGGCTCGGTCGTGTTCCTTTTGTCCTGTGAGTGGTACGTGAATAACCAAGATCAAGCTTTGGCGCACACCGTTCGACGATATGTTGATGAATGGCCACCAATCAAGGGATATCTCTCTTTTATAGTCGTTCCTAAAAGCACATTAGATATTATTGATATCACGCTATGCGTTGAACAAACAATTCACGTATCGGAGCCGACGGTTGTCTTCTGGTACAGTGTTAAAGGAAGGTACGCGGTGGTTGAGAGCACTTTGAGACATTGTGGGTTTGCCTTGCAGAGCCTTGCCGGTCGACTCTTCACCTCTCTGATGCTAATTTACATCTTTAGCAAGATTTGACGCGGCGCCTCGCTTCGGCAAAAAATCCAACGACGCTCTATTATAGCAATAAACCTAGTGTGTTCGTAAACTTTTCGTTGCAAGGAAGCATACGCTACAGAGACTAGCAGGACGTTCTTTTCTTGCAACTCGTCGATCTTATGTTGTCGATAGTAGTGGCAAAGAACAACTGCAACAGATCCGTGCCACTATACCCATAGCTCTGTTGGGTCTGCCCAGATAACGGCGCAGCGATGAGTCTGCAGCCAGTACTATGCACCGCCCGATAGGATAACTCAATTAGTGGTATCTCTTTCTGACTTCGTTTGACGGTACTGGCACCCTTTTTGTCGCTCCATCTCCCAAAACCCACATAACGTCCTGTTCATTGCCGTCGACTTCATTCACCAGCGTTCTTTCAACCCTCCCCGCGTCAACCTGGTCCCCGAGTGCTGCCTCTTCAGACAGACGATTCCCAATCGAAGTACTCCATGCATGTTCCATGCGGCCTTCTAAGCTGTTACGTCCATATGACTTTAGTTGTCTCGTGGCGCTTTCAGCGACGCAACCCATTTCAGACCACCTACCATTGGCGTTGCTAGGGGTTGGTGGATTAACATAGGACAAAAACGGCTTGAACCTACGATAACATCCTCACCAGATGGCGTTTATTCGTTTGGGGCTAAAACTGAGGCTATACGAAGGAATCTTATCAAATAAGATGTTTCAGCTATATAATATTGTTAGCCTTGTAGTAATATTGTTACTAATCAAATTTTTGGTGAGGCTCAGTCTGTGCTTTCCGAACTACAGTACAATTTCCTATATTGTAAATTAATGTGGTTAAAGTAGCCAAAGCTTTTATGTAGTTAGAAGCGCCCTCTAGAACGACCAAATCGGAGCACCATGCAATACAGATCACATCGATTAGTTTGACATTGCACCGCGACTCTCAGTGATGGATAATTTATAAATCGAATTGTATCCAAGATGACAGAACGGTGACCAGTCAATGATTCTGAAGGGGACCATGACGGTCACATTCGTAGCTTTTAGCTAGCAGCAATTTGTTTAACGTTCGCGAATTCAATTGATGGTTGTGCTTAAGGGATGATAACTGGACAGTATACTATTGTTATTTTTGTATGTTCAGTATTCGATTACTTACCAGTGATTTCAAACAAAAGACAACAGGAATAACACAACTAGGGCTTTTTTTTTCAATGTCTCTAGTAGATTTAAGAACTCAAATTTTAACTTACGTTCTAAAAATTATATTTAGTTGAAATCGAAACGTTAGATAGAAACCGTTCGGTTGAATCAACTTTAAATAGCTTTAATAGGGGCATATATGGACAATGGAAATTACGGTGGGTCAGTGGGGTGAGTACAGCAAATGCGTTTAGAACTATTATCTATATATAATATGATAGAGATCTGTTGTAGTTTGTTGTTACAGTGTGAGTGCCTGCCAAAACATTGCCCAAAATACTGACGGATCAAATGGAGTGAAATAGGTATCATCGAAATTTTACATAGATCCGTATAAACACGACTGACTAATTGGGAATAAAGTTGTCCTGCCAACCAACATCGTCATGCGGCATCTCCATCTATTAGCAATGTAGTCTTGTTTGCCCCACGCATTTTACCAAGGCTTCCTGCCTATCGCTCCAATCAGATATATGTATAATTTATAATAATGTACCCTGCAAAAATATCTGGCGAATGGTTATTTTCGAAAACGGGGGAGCCTTCGTATGATTGCGATCTGTGGAAACGGTTACGCAATTGTCAGTTCCAAAATTGCTAGGTCAGATGCAGAAAACACCTTCGAAATATATTAATCGTTTAATATGCTGTGTAGCTTTACTGTAAAGTTGTGCAGTGCCCTCGAATGGACATACTTAAAACAGACGTTGGCTTTAATCTTGTTCCTCAATTATGTGCCACCCGTCATTGCTCCTTTATTCATGACGGCCACCTGAGATACCGCCATAACATTACAAATTGTTACCCTCTTTTGGAAAAATCAAGGAGCTCCTAGGGCGGCAGCGGGGTAAGGTGATCAATGAGCAGCGAACGTTGCTCAAACACGCACTTCTAACGTTAGATTTGTACTTAGACTTCCTTTTCCCACTTACACATTCTGATATAGCGTTTGCAAACATTTTCAAGTTGTATCATATGTGCTGTAACAATATTGTTCTACGGGTGAAGTTTCAACTTAAAAGACTTGCTCAAAGATGGATAAGAGAAACTGCATTTTCGACACCCTCTAGACTTCGTTGCGATCAACTCTGCCGAAACAGCCCGAGAAACATGTTCTAAACGAAATGTTCAAGAATGGTTTGCCAAGTTGGAAGGCAGTGTCGGTAATCTAGAGAATGTCCTCTACTGTGGCCGACCGCCTGAGTTCGATGACGTACTTTCGAAGCCACTTTTGAGAAGTAGTCAACAAACAACGCGAAAATTAGCTGAAAAGTTAGGCTGCAGCCACACGACCACCGTTAAGCATCGCAAGTCTCTCTAATCTCACTTACGTTTTGCGTTTGGTGGCGAGATGGGCGAAAGTAATTTACTGCAACAAAAAAAAATGTGGTGTCTGTTACGCAGTAAAAAAAAGGGCGCCAATTTTCTAATTTGCTTAAATCTGAAATGTATTATAGGTTACTTCTCTTGAGAGCATCAATCAAAGGCGCTTATCGACAATAAATAATATCATGATACGTACTACCTTCAGCTTTTTTTTGTCATTTTGCCATTTTGTCATTGCCAAATGTCATTTTTACGCATTCGAATGGATGTCACCGACGCGACAATGGTTTAGCTGACTAGCAGCATAAATCAGCAAGCCGTAAGAACAAACCATAAAAATACTTGCTAGATAGTTTGTAGTCGGAGGCTGAGAGGGAGTGTTACACTCTGATAGTTTATTTGTGAACGGTATGATAAGTTTCGTATAAGATGTATAAAAAAACAATAGAGAGCAGGATAACATCTGCGAGTGTCAGTCTATATATTTGCTATTCTTTGATATAAGGATCGTTGTAAACGAGTCAAAGGTACCAAACTACTTCATCGTATCCATAGATATTGCTAACGCGACACGCCGACAATCCGGATTTCCTCAACGTCTGAGATTGAATATGAAGAAAAATATATATAGAAATCAATTGCATGCTTACAGACGTGGTACCTAGAAATCGTCACCGCAATCGTTGTTTTAGCTGTTAAAATTTGTACTACATGAAGTGTATAACAATCAGATACAGACGGCACAGTCGTGTGTGAAAACTAGTATGTTATCATTATTACGCGGCGACTAAAGGATCATTGCAGTAGACCATTACTAAACATTATTAACCATAGAAATTGCCTCTATGCTTGATTACCCTAATCCCCATATGTTTGCATTAAAAATATTATACAGTTGCTGATTCTCGGTAGTTTATGGACACGATTTTTATCTGACCTATGACGGCAGACCAAAATTATAATGCAGGGTGATTTGATCTAGTCGATCAAAGGTTTTCGGTCCTGTCAATCAGTATAATTGAGCCAGACGGCGACGTATTAAACGTCGGGCATTACCGATTTGATATCCGATAATGTGACGGGGGCTAGAGCTAACAGTAGGAGGTCTCTATTTGACAGATTGTTTTGTCGTCCTTTTTTGCCGGTCTTTTTGGGTTGATTTTCCTGGCTTCGCGGTTGGGGTCGATTGACTATGGACGAGGCACCGCCTGGTTAAGCGCTATACCTAAAAATGATTACCATTTTAAGAATGCAAACCACTGACAAAATGCAAAGGTAGTTTTAAGCTTGGAACTTATTAAGAACGTCAAGCGGACAACGTGTTATTACACGATAATGCTTACTGTGTCTATAGGATGCGATTATATGGAATACAGTCCGTTTAACCCTATATCCACGATCACAGTGATGAGCCCTAAAATGATGATTTTCTAAAACATTGGTGCTTAGGTTTATTTCGCCCGTATGACCTTGCTTTTAAAATATATGGTGCTGGCTTTTAGGGAAACAAACGTAATGTAACTAACAACTAAGAACAATTACATAAAAATAAACAAAAAGTCGCACCTAATATGCACAAGCAGTTATTTGATTAAGCAAAGAATATACATCTATATATATATATATATATATATATATATATTGATTGGTAAAATTGTAAAATATTACCGTGGCTACCATCAGGCGCTTAATAACTCATGTGTGTCTCGTACATAAACTAGTTACTTTTTTCTTTAATAAAATAGTAATCTAATAACAACGCAGTAATGATGAACTATATGCAAGCCTTAAGCCGACTTTCGCGCGCATATCGATGGAACACACCAGTTACTACAGCCAAATACCTGCTAAACGTACAGGCCAACTTTTTCCTCCCACTTGACCTATTACGACGCTAAATGGACTGTCAAGCCATTTCTTCCAGCAAAAACAGTATCATCAAATACACAAAAAGTAACAATAACGGTGAGCCAATTCACAGTCCAGTATTCGGTGTTCCCCTTATAAAATTATAACCAACCCATGTCTTTAGCTGTAGCTTTTTCGCTCTGTAATCTTACAATGCATTTAGCCCCGGCCGCTTTTAACCCTATCCTGAGAGTTGTTACGATGTCTCTAACTAGAAGAGCAGAGTGCTTAAGCTTACATTGTGGTGCTAGCATACGAGAATGCAATAACAACCTAACCTTAAACTGGGTAGACACACAATTCCCCATGGAGAACTTACCTACCAAAGTCGCGTGGAACAGCCAGAGTCCGCGAGCTGTGTTTGTGCTTCAGGTATTCACTTTAAAAGGCGACTTATTGAGCCCGAAGAGCAACAATGGCCACGGGGATGGTATTAATGACAGACGCTAATGGTTCATTCTTTTGCAACCGAATAGAGCATCCTGGCAGTACTCAGTGTTAGTGGGCTGTTTGATAGGTTAACGCACTAGGTTACGAGAAACCAGGAAACGAGAAAACAGGGAAGAAGTATTTCCCGAAACACAAATTTATCGCGTCACAAGCAACGGAATTTATATATGGGTGTAATTATACTACACTATATAGTGTTTTAAGCAGCCGATGCCGATTAACTAACGCAACGGTAGGTTAGGTAGGTTCGTTGCTAGTGAGGATCCCTTCAAACAAAAAAAATATCCATCTAAGGGTAATCAGTATTTCTTATGATAAGGCCTGCTTAGATTGATGGCATACATATCGTTTCCAACTAGATAAGATGACGATGTCAATATTTCCACTAAAAAGCTGTTTCTGTAAACTGGATTCTTGCTGTAGATATGCATGGTCCTAGTTTTGCGGGAGGCCTGGAGATCGGCACAAAAAGGCCCGCAAAACATCATATATACTTACTTTTCGAGCACACCCACCGACGTTCGATGTTTTCAATGCCTAGCAGATTGAGGCTAAATTGTTAGCACATCCTGTGGCGAGAAGTCAACCAGTTTGTGGTCCTGTACTCGTCTGAAACGAAAGTAAAAATGTCCTATTTATTCTGCCAACATGGAACTCTGCGATTTCTTTGCCAATGAGCTACTTATGAGTAAAAGGCCATTAGAAGTAAGCAGTTCTTGCATCCACATGAAATATAACAGAATTTTGCACGACTCTACAAGCCCACAAGGATATACAGTATGCCATGGAGTGAGTCAGATGCGCCTTAGGCCTGGTATAAGAGATTGATCTCTGAATCTAAACTCGTTCGCTCATGTCGCGAAAACGAGTCTGATATAGAAGCTTCTAAGTTCAGTCAGTATTCGAGTATACTAATGGTCCTACGCGCGGAATTATAGCGCTTTGGCACATATAGTTCTATTTCACGTTAGTGGCTATTTAGTTAGAACTAGAAACGAGGCACATAGGGCCAGCCTTCCGGCTCGACAAGGGAAGCTGAATTTTAATCTTTATTGAAGAAATTATTCCGCCGCACCACGGTCACCTCGATCACGCATTGACTGCCCGTTCACAAGCTAGAACACGTCAAATCGTGTAAGTTAAATGCAGGAGACATCTTGTACCCAAGCCACAAATCTGCGTACTTTTCGGTATGTGCGTGTGTGTACAAGTTCTTCCTGAAAAGTTCTGGCAGCATGACGAGATCAGTAACTGGCAGAGGGATAGTTACATTGGGACATTGCGGGGAACGTGCACGGAATATACGTTAGAGCATGAAAGGCTCCAAAGTAATGCAATAGACTCGTTACTCTTTCTATGGGTATATCACAAAGATGTGGCACTCGATCCATGATTTAATCATCTGAGTGAATGCTCTGCTCACCTTCTGCTAGAAGCAGTTTTAGATGTGTGTATTCTGTTTGCTGCAACGGTTGTCATATTCAGGAAACAGACGGAGATCAAGAGCTGATCTTGCAGCGTCAACTATGGATCTGCCTCATGCATACAAATTTCATCGATACTGTATCTCAATTACCTATTGATGAAGTTAAAATTTTTCTAGACATGTTTTGTCGCCGAAGTTGTCCCGTCAACCTAAAAGTTTGCTATCTTTTAAAGCGTGCAGTCTGTAACTGATGTGATCCCCGCGTGTGGGAGCTAACTGAACATATTTCCTTTAGTGGACAGCAAACGAAGACCTTTCATCATTGAATTTCCCATTTGTGCACATCAAGAAGATCATAGAAGCTGCTAGTTGGGCTCCTTTTTCCCTGATTTCGCTTTGAGGGGCCCGCCGACAACTCGGTCAAGGCTTAAAGCGTTAAACCTATTCTTCAAAGTCAAACGAAATGTTCGAACGGACATTTTTCTCTCGCGGGTAATTTAAAATTCCAGCCTATCGCGAGAACGTTGTCAATTTTCTCATCCATTGCGCTGAATCCGGCAAGCGATCCTGTCTGTCCGGTTCTTATTGCTCTTGCCATTGCTTAGTATCTGGGAGTACTCTTTATCTTTTGGTAAACATTTCGGCGTTGGCTTCGAATTGTTGACCAGACAACAAAAGACCGACTCGGTAGGGTTACCGAAAACTTAGGCTGGAATGCCAGCAGGCGGAGTTCAGATGAAACTTCCAGGCTAGATTTTTTCTAGGATTTTTCTTGTGTTTTACTGAAGAGTTTTGGATAGACAGACCCGTCCCCGGAGGCTCGGCTACAGTGGATCGCTGCTATACATAGCCTTGTGAAGCCCGCTAGAAAATTGGTTGTTACCGTTGCCGTATTGGTCCTTATCTCACTACCTACTGCCTGTCAATTTAAAAATTGTTGTGCCAAGCGAGTACCGTATACTACAAACGTACGGTGTGGTAATAACCGTGAGTTAAATATACGTTTTATGTATAGTTCCGTGCATAACTAGAAATACAAAATAAGCGGAACATTAGAAATGTTGCACAACATTAATGTAAACTGTTGTAGAGATAAAGGGACGGTACGTTTCATTAACAGTATTTCGAAAAATAAAAGGGCCACGTTTTTTGCTTATATTGAGGCTAGCTAAGTAACTTATTCGATAAGTTACTTTTATTATTATTATTCTTTATTAATTAATATTATGTGCGCAGTTATTATCGAATAACTGCGCGCAATGGTGCGGCACTGTATTTGATTCTGAATGTATGAAAGTTAACTAACTGCAAGATAATGTACACCAATTTTCCGTTAAGCTCGCTATGTGTGAACTACTATGTTTTCCACAATGGCTAAAGCATAACAGCGCCAATATGGCCCCATCAAGCAATGTTATCTGCGCAAAGATCGAAGCTCATTTTAAATATGTCACCAGCAGAGGGCGCACTGTTCTTTGCACGAAATAAATGTCGTCGAGTTTTGCGGTTCCACTGCCATAGTTAAGCAACGCTTCAGAAGGCTAGATGCTTCTAGCACGAAACAATGTGTATCTATCTATCTATCTATTTACCCAATTTCGAACTTAGTTACGGTGTGAATTGGTTTAAGCTGATTTACCAATTAAAGTGCTTTCTCCATAAAACGAAATCTTTCCAAATAGACAAAAAATTAACTGCGTCCGTGATATCCACCGGCGTAGTACCGACCAAGGGCAGGAAAAGGAATGACTAGATCAGTTTAAGCACGAAGAGCTCTGCGAAGTTGGACCGCGTAATGAGAGTCATGGCTCGTGGATGCTGGCAAGCAAAGTGTAGGCACTAAAGGGAAGAGAGTCATTTGTGCTTGATAAACCGTGAGATATCCCCAACGCTTATGGAAAAGCGGGTTAATAAGGCCAGAGTCCCGTATTCAATAAAAACGAGCACGTCGACGAGTACCGGCCTAGCGCAATGGCTGAAGTTTGCCTGAGCTGGCATGTAGTTTTTGTAGTAAGGGGCAGTAGTAGTAGTAGTAGTAGTAGTAGTAGCAGCCATAGGAAGGTCACTTTTTCCAAATTGTATCGTTGCCAGAAGCTCGAGAGACAGTTCAGACTTGGTTGAAAAAAAACGAATTAGCAGTCGATATCATCGTTTATAGAGGCATTTGGTGGATCCCTTGGTAAATATAGCGAACACATCGCAGCTGTTTCGAGTATTAATTCCCGTTTCAATAAAGTCGGGTAGCTCAGTTTTGATACCATTCATGCTCGACGGTTACAATTTAACGCCAGCGTTAATTCCAAAACAAAACGTAATAATTCTGTATTAGATAGAGAATAGGAAAAGCTTCTCTTTATAAAACGTTCAATTTGCGTGTCACTAATAGTAGCTCCTGTGCACTTCCGGTCGTAGCTAAAAGTTATATTGTAACATGCTTGACACATTAAAGCAAGTGCTTCTGACAGGTTTCTAATTTTTTCTGTTTATGCATACAGATAGAGCTTTGTTATATTTGTTCAGTCTTCCTAAATTTTTAAAGCTGATGCCGGTTCCACTTCTTTGAGGAAGCCAGCTCGGATAACCGAGTAGATTCTGCCCTGCATTAACGCGATTGGACACAGTGTAGAAAAAAACAGAGAAGGTTCAATCCTCAATTGGGACTCACTGTTTTTTTTTTTAATAATTTCAACTTTGCATAACAGCTTACCAGTTGCGAGCGCGAATAGTGCAACCAGCTATACACAGCTCATAAATACACTAACACAATCATGCGATTTTGTCAAAGTTATAATTAATCCACTCTTTAATAAAGAGTTCTATCAACTCCTCTGATTGCTGGTGCACAATTGAATCCCTCTGTAGCTAGGGGCAACATCAGCCGATTAACGGCTACACAAAGAGTAAATTAAATATAAAGGGAAAAAATACCCTTAAGAATGTCATTTGAAGAGGTAAATGTTGGTCTGTTCGAATACAATATAGATCCGGTATAACATACGTGAATACATCGAAAGAAAAGAGGACATATAAACAATTCTTGCTGAACTGCCGACGCAGCAGTATCTTAAGCAAAATCTAGGTTCAAAATTGGAATCCGTATGTGCTAGGAAACAGCCATTCAAAGCACTGCCTGACTAAATCAATTGAACACACCTGATTTACGTTTTATCTCAACCGTCGTCTCAACTTAACCCGTTGTTATGATACATAAATATCTGGAACTATCGTAGTCGGCAACCTAAGAAGCTAGCAGGCCTGAAGGAAAGGCTATACAATTTCATCTAAAACATCTATTGCCAGTAGGTCGAAAGATAAGTTCAACAATAGCTGCTGTAATGACGCACCCGAAATACCCTTCGAGACCTAACTCCCTTACTGTACAGTGCCAAACTCCTGTGACTTGCATATCAGATGGGACGCAGTAATTGGCTTCTACCAAACGCCAAAGTAAATCTTGGAAGGAACTGATGAAGGAAGGAAGGAACAGAACAAATTATGGATATAATTAATCATCCTGATACCATAAGAGACTGATCCTTAAAGTTCACTTGGCAGTGTTGACTTGCACCAACAAGTTGCTGACTTCCTAGGCTCTCCGTCGTATCAACATTTAGGATACATATAATATATAGAATAGCCTTCTACTCTGTCGGGTTATTTTGGGAAAAGTGGTGGCCCCGGCCATAAGCGAGACCGCCTTAGCGGAGATTTTTTAATGACTAGGCAAAATGTACGTTTAGAATACTGCGGACGCTATAGCGAGCGGCTGAAGTTAGCAGAATACAAACGCGTCTGAAGTGAGAAGTTCCAATGCGAACTCGCGTCAGAATCGTTTTAGTTGCACTCTAGGCCCGCGTAAACCATCCAGTCAGGCGGAGGGATACACTTCTCCAGAAGGAAACGGTCCGCATCGTATTTTAGTTGTGTTCAAAAACATTTGTGTTCTTCGGTGAGATTGATTAGTGCCATAAATCTGATGACTTGTTGAATGTACCGTTTGTAAAATATGTCCAGTCATTGGTCGCAGATAGTTTTACTGAAACTTCTGGTTAATAACAAGTTGACATAACATTCGAATGGCTAGGTCCTATACACATCGGAGAGATGCCATATTCGTTAACAAGTTTACGTCTATTGTAATGAACTGCTGACCAAGAAAGGCACAATATTTGAGACGTTTTTGGGAAATTACTTAGCTGCCGAGTGTGCTCAAGTTCCATTTAAGCCTAGCTTTTCAAACCTAGTTTTCGAACTAAATCAATAATATGGGTCAACGGGAACACCTGATATTTTCATTTTCAACGTAATATAAATACTCATATGTATGAGGCACTACGCACTCTGTGAAAGCATTCGCAGCCGCCGCCGCCGCCGCCGCCGCTGCTAAAGCTGGGTTCAATTCCAATTGATGCACAAAACTGTACGGTGTGCCTATCTACACTGAGTGACATGTCGATACGTATTTCGATATTTAGATATGCACGCGAGCGGCAGGATTGCTTATCGAGCATGGATCTTAAGGTCGCGATTGCAGCGCCACAAGTGTCGGGAAAATTTCGGTATATAGTCGTATTATCGTATCCTGCGATGTGTGTATAGGTAAAGTAGGTATTCCATTAAATAATATTGTATTTATATAACAGTCTTTGGTCTTCATCAACTGGTCAAGAAGATCACCAAACATGATCGCTATCTGAACCCTTACTCTGCATCGATAATTGTCATATACCGGCTATATATACATATATAACGACAAAAACTTCTGACTTGATTGTATTGCTGTCCGTTTAGTCGCCAACAGGAAGTCCAACGACGGTGTACCGACAACGAAGTCCCGGTCTGATATGACACTCACATTCGTCTCCACAGGAGAGCTGATGCTAAACGGATTGATATAGCAGAAAGGTGCGCGAAGATTCTTCTATTTGCAAAGGCTCTATAGCGTGTCCGGCTTGACAGATTGGCGTGATTGTAATGAAACATGACTCTGTTTTGGTACGAGTGACAAAAATAATATCCAGTGTCCACGGCTGCGGCTTCCCATACGTGACTCAGTCTGCAAAGCACCTTAATATTCTGATAATAAGGTAATTGTTATATGGCCTTGCAGGGTTGAAATGGCGACTGGCGAGAGTCGCTGTTTCGGAGCTTGTATTTCAATCTTCGCGGCAAACTGGTATGAAGAAGGTGGAATGGCTGGCCAGATCAGACTACGAGATCGAATTCCCCGCCGTAAGAAACCGAACTCTATAATTATAAAACTGTTTTTTTTTCGTTGTATAATCGTTATATTGTGATTATTCAGTCCCGCGCCTACATTCGTACTGTTATAGATAAATGAAAACAATTTTAAACTAGTCAAGTATAAATAATTTCGGTATGGTTTAAGCGTGGTCTGCTGTGATAATGGCATACCGCAAACAGCGCAGGGGGTAAAGCCTTAGATATCGAGGGAAACGGTCTTTTTTTCGACTAGTGTTTGCTACTATCGATAATAGGGTTAGCTAGCTAACAGGATTGTCCCAAGCTCAAAAACGTTGCATAAATTCTAACCACGGCCTCAATTCAATTTTCATTTGTAGTTATAAGCGTTACCGAATCACAATTAATTGACCGAATTAAATGGAAAGCCGTTCGCCAGGCTTCTATTTACGAATGGATAAAATAAAACATGAAATGAACCAGTGACCGTTAGACCTCTATAAAGAGCTATCTTTCTTTTTGTCAGAGCTATTTACCCACTGCGATAAGGAAATCCACGTCAACATCAGCGATCTCAATCGGGCATACGCGCCTATGAAATCATAAGCAGCAAAGAACCAGCAAAAATTACCCTGGAAATGTGCGAATGTTAGCAGGAATCTCGGGACAATACGCGAAACGATTACCAGTCAGGAGACTTGAAATCGAGTCAGCCGTCGCTCTTTAGGGCGGACGGCTCTTTATCGTCACAAAATAAAATTGCTCAATTGGAAAAAGGAGTGCCAAAATAAAACGTCTGACTCAAAAGTAAGTAGATCATAAAACCGGAGACCTCATCAAGCAAAAAACAATGCGCACAAACCTATAGGTGTTTTTGAAAATAGCATACGCGATATGGAGCTATGAAATCTTGGGGGAACAGTTGTTCTACGCTAAAGCCAAACAAAAGCTATTCCAGTAATCAGATACGCTAATTCGGCGGATTTATCTACAATGAAGTTCCAACAAGTTATTTACATATATTAACGCCGAATCAGTTATAAGCAACAATCGGACAGGGTGGTTCGTCACTGCACGCTATGACAGTGATGAATCATCCGATGTTGTACCACATCATGGTACTACTACTACTTGCTTTTAAACACTATATCAGTCTTCGTTAGACACCGAACTTCACTGCTTACTAAGGCAACTTCCAAGAATCATACCTAGTCTCAGGCGATCGATACGAAACAATTCAGGACATCGTTATAGTTCCTGTTCTCTCAAAGTTAATAGTTGCATTCGAAACTCCATTTTAAGCCTATTTGTGCGAACACTCTCGTTGTTCATAAGAAGAGCTTAGAATTAATCAAATTATATGGTTCGAACCGAACACGAGTTTAGAAAACGTTTTGCTCTAATCAACAATATCACAATATTCAATCGATGAACGTAGATCTTTGAAGTTCTACGAAGCCTATTTTCTATTGCATTCAGTAACTCGTCTCCGAATTCTGCTCTAAAATAATAATATCCGAATGACCGTTTGTGGGTAGACAACTTGTCTCCGCGATAGCTAATTTTAGGACCACGTTATGGCATAGGCTAGAACCCGGCCATAGAGAGACTTCCTTTTGTGGTGGAAGCCAGACGTCTAACGGAACGCCTAACGGCGTTACCGGACATAAAACATCAAACATAAAGGTAAACAGTTTATTCCTTCGAGGTTTATTAGCCTGAAATCATTCTTGTTAGGTCAATTTCGTGGAGCTTGAACAATAAACAATGATCAAATATAAGTTTTTTAAACAAATCTCGAAAACGATCAGTTTGGCTAAATTAATACTGCACTCCACAGTAAAAAGCAACTCGGAAACTATGTCCCGGAAAAAAAGCGATCATCCGTCAATCTCAGAATGAAGCTCCACTGGTAAAAGCTAGCGAGAACCGATTTCGGCTCTGGCGGACAGATACAGATCTTTAATGGAACGAATATAGTTATTACTCATAGCGGTAATGATAGGTCAGACGTCCGCGGCGAAATTCAAGCCTAAAAGCTTGGCTAGAAAAAGTCAACCAGTCGACTGTCCACATGAAATGGTGGTCTCAAAAAGATCGATGCCGTTATTTTGTTAGATTGGCACAAACGTCTTAAATGACAGTAGTGCACCCATCTAAACGGGATGAAGCTACCATTTATAATTAGCTTATCTTCGTTTTTGTTTGTTCCGTTTGTTCACGACCGTAGAGCATGCTCGTTCGCAAAATGGGTCAATTATTAAATGTTATTTTGATAAACAGACGTCTAACAATAATGTTGGCATGAGCCGATAATCTGTGCATGCATAAAAAAAAATCATTTTATTATTACTCAATACGACCTAAACGATGTGCCGAATAAAATGCTCCTCTAGTGGTTATTAACAATGCTACAGTCGCTCGAATACCACGTATATCTGAGTAGTAGTAGATCAGAGTAGCCTAGGCAATGACCTGATTTGCGAGTGAATTAATACCACGTAATGTTTATCTGAGCGCACCGTATTGGCCTAGCTCAAGAAATTTAAACTATTCGGTAGCTAGATATAAGGTTGGTTTTGTACAAAAACAAGATTAACAAAAAGAGCGAATGGTTCGTTCTTTTTTTCTGTGGTATCATTGTTTAGATAAGACCTGCTTTTCTCACTGGATCGTCCTTGTTAGATGTATCAGGTCTATAGAAGACACTCGGGTCCTGGACAGTGATAGAATGTCCAATATGATTTTTTGGTCGTATTCAGCTTTGAAGTCCAGGAATTAGAGAATATGGTTAAACGATTTGTTTTGTTTCAAGACGTATAGCCTATTCTTTGCAGCTATATAATACATGGTTTAAATTTTCATTCATTTAAATGTCGGCCGATCAAACGGGGATTAGAAGGGTCAAAGGTTAGGGATAGCAAGGCTAATGCGTAGTTAGTTCTGTTTAGTTTTCATTTCGTGCATAGATCTTTTAAGCCGAAGTGTTATGGTGTTGTACAGGAACTACAAATCTTCTAAATAGATGTTTCGTCTGCAACACTAAATTTCCCAGGCAGAATATGTTAAAAAGCACACTAATGGGCATCAGAATAAAGCATTGATTTTCGAAAGTTACTCATGTTATGATCTATTTTTTTGTCACTTGTATTGTCGTACCTTTGATTGTTACGTTGAATTTATCATGTCTCCGCAATACCCGCACGTTACGTAGCACTGAAATGTTTCGAATCTAGTTGTTGTTTATTCATCGAGAATACTTAGAAGATAAACATATAACTTGCTTTATCGGTCACTCTTCACATGAATGCGCTCCTTGTCCAGCTAATAGAGTTCGCCGGCAAAAAAGAATCTTCGTACGCTGAATGGCGAGACGTGGGGACGTACACAGCCATAAAGACACTCCAATCACGTACGTAGCCCTTAGTCGAAACGGGGTCGTTCCGAAGCATGCATATTCGCTTAACGACCATTGAAATCAGTGGGCTTCACCTTAGCCCAATTATGCTTTTAAAACGAACCAGCAACCTACTGAAAGACACCAGCCACGCAGTTAATCTTTGAAAATTAGTATAGTAAAGCCCAAAGTCTACAGGTAGCGGTCTTCAATAAAGCCCAGCAATGTCATTTGGTCAGAGCGGTCTCCGTTAGACCGAAAGTGAATATGGGCTATCGGCCTGGCAAGAAACTCCTCGCCGCACATACAGTGAAAAACAAAGAAACAAACAGTTGGAAGCGACAGTTTAGGAACTCGACGACGATTTCTGTTGCAGGGTCCCTCCTCGCGCGACTTGTCGGCACCCTTTCACATAGTACTTGCCAGGCAGTCACCCCTGGTTATCATGGTTCTAATATCACATGTTGTATACCATCAGGCCACGAAAGGTAGCTTAAAACGCCAACCTTTACAAGCAAAGTTCAACAAGCATAGCTTATACTCCGCGTCAGGAACAGACGGTGACAGGCAGAAATGTTCGAGTTGTCCTGGACGCGTGTTACTGGTCTTCGGCACTGAACGGTTCTTAAGTGTATCGATACGAGGCTTCGTGAGTTGGACTTGAAGTAGCCACATGTACAGATGCACATCCTTGAAACGACTACAGCGCCATGAATCTAAAAGGAAGAAGAAAAGTTTCTGTTTACCGGAAATTCGAGCGCGACACGAAGCTGAACTGGCCCTTATGGATAAACGTGTAAATTAGTCGCGCTAATAACACTAGCAATAGTAGCGGTCATCGAAATGCGGTATAGGCAGTTAATTAAAACCATAATCCACGCCTGAACTAACTAAGTTCTTCTAAAATGGCTGCAATCTAAAAAAGGCACGCACTTTTCATATGAAAGGAGGTAATATGTTTGTGTGTCGGCTCACCACATAGTTTAAAGACTCCTCTTTAAAAACCTGGAGGATGCCTTACACACTTTCTAGAGATTAGATTTGCAAAATAAGTCTATTAAGAAATAAAGCTCGAGATAACGTGGCTGGGTGATATTCGAGAAATGATATGATAATCCTATTCAAAGGAAGACCACAGTCACATCTTTCGACGGTTTAAAAATGAACTGCATCAAATAGCATTGTCATAGCACCCTCTTGTGTTTTTCTAGGCTTAAGTAACACTTCCAACGTATCGCCTCAATAAAAAAACGTAAACTAGGTTTATTCCCGTTGACTCAGACAAAGTATATCTCACATAAACTATAGACCTACCTATAGTAGTAGTAGTAAATATTGGACTACTTAACAATCTTAGACGTTACAAAAGCACATCCGTTTCTTCGATTTCGAGATATCAATTTTAGAAGCATCGAGACACTTCGCTCGAGGAAAGCTATGAATACAAAGTAGAATCATTAAGCTATCTGCTAAGAACGATCTAAATGTAAAGAGTTTAGATACTCACAACGTATTTTTCTCAGTGGAAACAATGTAGCATTATGCGCAGGATTCGTCAAATAACTAAGTAGAAACGATTGAACGATCAGTGAGTTATTGAAACTTATTTGTATATACATGTATTTGTCTGACAATTGTTAAATGCTATGATATAAAAAGTGTGAAAAATTATAACGTGCCCCTGTAACAATTACCGCTTACTTGTTCTTGCCGTATCTACATTAGAGGAGAAAGGCGTCGCGATGCGAGGCGATTGAATGCTCGTAACTGATCTTCCTTACGGGTGGATATAAGAACTCGAAGCTGTCTGAAATACAGCTTTTCACCATAATCAACGTGTGACCACAGTATCTAACATTAATTCACTTGCCAAATCCGAGTCAAAACTGGTCCGGAAGTCAGGTTATCCTGTTAGCCAAGTTACATATTCAACCTTTCGCTAACTTTGAAATCTAGTTGAATTATAATCGTTTTCAACAACGAACCTCTCAACTTAAACTTAACGTCTCGGAAATTGCCACCAGATCGACAGGTTTCCATTCACTAATTAGCGTCGGTTGTGATTTAGTCGAGTTTTAATTGAAAGATTGTACATTTGGGCTAAACGTATTCTCGGAAACTCTATGAACTATTGATTTCCATTCAACGACATAATTTTTGCCGTTCCATGTTTGTACGATATTTGGAAGCGAATCAGCGTCATCGATTCGTAAACTTATGCCAAGTTTGCCAAAATTGGCTATTCTATAAAATGAATCAACATACCTAGTAATGTAATACGCTGTTGAACAATTCAGAACGTTGGGATAATCAGTCTTCTAAACGAGACGCAATTCAACACTGCAGCAGCCTTGTTTAGGCGCTCGCTATATTTATTCGGTCGTTTAATTTCAGGACAAAGGCTAACGAAGGTGTTTTAGCTAGCTTCCATAGTTTGTAAGTTTAATCATAGCAAATAGCACGATGCGTCGCTATTAAGAATTAAGTTTCCTCTCTTTCAACTATTTTAGGTAGAACATTTCTACAAACTTCTCCTTGAAATATGTTTTTCTAGAAATTTCTAGAAGAGAAATTTGTTGTACCTTAATTGTTTAGGTATCTACGTGTCCTTTGCGTGCTGATCTGCAGAGATTTACGTCAAAGTCATCATTATTCTGTAAGGGTATCGTAACAACAATTTATTCAATTCAATGACTAGATAACTGCAGCTTGCTGCCGATAGCCATTTTTGTAGGAAACAGTTTCTTGTGTTGCCGTTTCCGCATAAATCGTCTCACTTTGACATTATCGAACCTGCACGTGCTAACAAGTGCCGCATGATCTTGATACTTAGCACCCAGAAGGATTTTAGCTTTCAAAGCAAATCAGTATTTACATAGAATCTATTAGAAACGAAGAGCTGGAGCCGCGCGATATGGCTGTGGCTACTGTGTGTCGTTTCAGCGTGTTGCACTGATAATCGGTGACAACAAGTGTGACGCCACGCCGGTCCAAACGTCAGCGTCGGCAAAAATTCTTACTCAAGAATAACATAACAATAATAAAATAGGAAAAAATATGGAAAAAAAAAACAAGATATATTATTAAGGTTAAAAACTCGTTATGTGGCTGCCACTCCGCTTGATGAACCTCTTAGAGAGAGACCTGAGATAATCCAAACAAGACCCATTCCAATTAGGTATACCTGATGAGGAGCTATTTACATAGGAGAAATAACTGGTAGTTCTAAAAACAAAACAATAGAAGTAAAGAGAATCCAATGGAGAAAAATAGAAGAAGCTGTTGTTCCTTGTAACGAAACAAATGAAAACATTAAAAATCGTTTGACGTATGTAAAATCTGTGTGGATATGAACATTACGTAGGTAATCGTGACTCCCGACTTCATGATCCGGTAGAAAAAAACATCCTACAAATGTTGATCACTTAAAAGTAGCTAATCGTATTGTTTGTTTTGGCTAACTAGCATTTACTAATAGAAATATCGCTTAGAATACGCTATCGTTGCGTAGCAATTTGAGCAGTTCTATAGAAACGACTCATTGTTTAATTGTTTTATTGCATATCCTAGCATGTAATATATAACGAAACAATATAAAAACAAAATAATCGAAGTGTTATATTTCAAACGATACTTTTGTAGATGTTGCTATTTTCGTTTGTTTGTTTCTGCGCAAAACTTTTTTTTTTATCAAATGATGCTTTGTACAGCCTAGCTCGACATCGCGCTAGCTATGGAACAATAAGAGAAAAACTGCTTTATACTCTAGGAATCATCAATAGCGACTGAGGTCCTTAGCAGTAGTTTAATATTTCAGCAGTTACTTTTTACCCTCTTGGCCAGCCGTTGATAATTTTGGCACTGGCAAGAAGTTTTCAATCTTTTTCAAAACCATATTAAAACAACGAAGCTTATTTAGGTTGCAGTTGTCGTTCTAATTGAACAGAAAAACTCGTGAGCAGTTTAGGTATAAATGGTGTGGCGGCGGCATAGACCTTCTACCACTGGGCTAATCGAAACATGGAGGGTCTCGGGTGCCTTCTAGGGGGCCTAGCTGAGAATATAAAAACGCACTTGGCAGAATAGAGTAAATCAACAAGAGAGAGAGAGAGAGAGAGAGAGAGAGACGTGCCGGGAGAAAAGACCTAAGATCTGCTCACAAGAGGCTCCGCACTTTCATCAGCCAAAGGGCAAAATGATAAAAAGATATAAATGTGGCTTGCAAATACAGTGAAACGAACGACTTCAAGGCTACCGGCATGTGCGGTAGAGAAGGTTGTCACGCGCGTCTTCTCCAAACAACCGCCAGGAGAACCAATACCGGTTTCAGTAAACGAGAAATGCCTTCCGGAGTTTACTGAAATGGGTAGACTACGGCTGACACTCGGCAAGGCACGAGGCCAGAAGGGGTCCCACCTTAGGCCGTAAAGCGGCTAATAAAAAGGTGGCCTCTATCATTCAAAGACCTCATATATAGATCCCTCCGAGATAATGATTCTCCAGCAGGACAATCCGCCATTGAGGCCGAAGCGATCGGACATGCAGTTCAACTTTGTGGGCACAAGATAGCAGTAACATCAAGCCACGTCCAAGAATCGTTATCTACGCATGGTGTCCATGGTCGTGTACACGGCCTCGAAAAGCTGCCCTTGCGTGCCACGAACGCCGACCATCGAGGATTTTGCGAATCGGGTCCTCACAGAGGTAGCAGCTGATATGGCGCCCTTAGGACGCGGCGGCTCCCGCCAGTGCTATTGACTATACCAGCGATCACTCTCGGAGTGCTCGATGAGGAAGGGTTCCAGCAAGATACTGAGACGTTTCCTGATGGTATTGCGGTCGTGTCACAACATTAGCGCTTCTTAAGCCGACGGTCTGGAAGGGCGTCGATATTCCTGTGCTGACGGAAACTTAGGCAACATGCCGACCTAATTTCTTCGGTCTTTATGCGTGAACTGTCTAGCTCGAATGAGTAATGGCCCAAGTCGTTTCAACAGAAGGGTTTCTGTGTTTATAAGTGTGTTGTTTTATAAATTGTTTTATAATTACAGAAAAAGTTCACAAAGACAAATTAAAGATAATGTTATCGCATTGCGTGTCCCATTAACGCATTTGCGTCGTAGTAGTTTATGTCTGTCCCGCCGAGTCAGAATCAACATACGTGTTAATAGAGAAACTCATTAACGGTCTAGAGGCATGCTCGCTCCTCTTGATCTTACCATAATCACAACTGATGACAGAGTCGTTAAAGGTCGAGAGGCACGCTCGCTCCTTTCAACCTTTTCATAATCATAACTGATGACATTAACGTTCAAACAAACCAGTGTAAGACCCAAGACGCACATGAGCGCTCCGAGACACGCTTGCAGACCATAGTTGTTGGATAATTTCATCACGTTTGATACCGACGTTTGAGAGATACACTGGAAAATCAGTTACCTATGTGCTTGCAATAAGCGTTGCAAGGTAGGGCTTGCTTTCTTCGAAAGAAAAACCCGTTGGAAAGTCGCGGATGTATACGAATGCACACCTTGACTGCTATAGAGTTCGTGGCTCTATGGGTCTTTCCTGGACCTCCAGATCCTAACCTTTGCCCCGGATGTTGACAGCCTCCTGAAGCGAGCACACAAAATCACCTCGGTGCCATTAATACAACAAGCTGCATGCAGGACCTTGTTGAAATCACTCAGCCGTCCGTTGAACCCGCCAACCCCAGAAAACGCAGGGCCTGGTTTGATGATTTCAGTCGCTTTGTCCGAAGGACCCAGAACACTTTCAGGCAGCTAATAGAGATGCAGTTTGTAGCTCACCCTCTGGGTGCGACGTTTAGAACAACCCGCCAAATAACGTACATCTGCAACATAAAAAATACCTGAAGATGTTTGAGAACATAACGTGCAGACAGAGTCGCAACCATGGATCGACCGCATGTCCCATAACCTCAGTCGCATTGATGAGGCATTAAACTGGTACGTACGATACCACTGTTCTCTGTGCTTGATAATGACGAATTTACGACAACGCGCAATCTGTTTCAGAAAAAGTTCACCGTACTGGAGAGCTTGCCGATTGTCGAAAATAACAAGGCAGCAGGTTCGGAGGCGGTCTACAATGAATATCTCGAGGGACCATTCTGTCCTTGTGCTGGACCGCACGCTCGAATGTGCACATTTCCAGCTAAAAGGAGAGATGCTTTGCTATTGATGGATATTGAGCGAACTCTTCTATCGTCATGGTGCAGAATCGTTCGGAGGAACGCATTCCACAGGTTGCTTGCCAGTGTGCTGACCAGAAGACGGTCCACTTTCTCAACGAGTAGAAAAGCTATACCAAAGGAACAACACAGGTCCTGATGGTCGACATTATAAAAGCATTCAACAAGAGAAAAAACCCCCTAGTACGTGGTGCTTGATGATTATAAGGCCATATTTAATTCTGTATCCGAAGATATACGTTTGGATAAGACGGAGCTCGTAGAATTTAGGAGACGAAGTCTGGACCGTGGCTAGCGATACGCCATCTCTCACTGGATCTTCCCTTCGGTACGCTGACAGATTCTCGTATCTCGATTCCCCCATCTTTTTTAGTGATTACGTCTTCACCTTAAACCACTCGACGGATTGAGGCTTTGTTCCTGAAATGTGCTTTGGGCTTTTATCGTACAGCAAGAAACTGACTAGTTTACCTCCTTGTCAATACTTCGTTACTCATCTAAAGTCTAAGATCTTGTTATGGACCCTCGGCCTCCCTTGACTGTTTCAGCAGGTGCGAGTAAAAGCTCACTAAAATAGGTAATGAATTTTTTAGCACGGGAGCGATGAAAGACAATAGCTATAAGTAACCAAAGCGAGTAAGCTGTCACGTAGTTGCTCATTTCAATCAAATTATTTACAAACGGAAGTTTCCATGAACCAAGTAAGGGGTATATTTATAATAGATGTGATAGAAACATGTGATCAAAGCCATGCGGACTGTTGCCTTTTGTCGCTCGCTCAGAAGTTCGGCACTCCAATGCTGTTGCAGGTGAGCAACTTTTGATCTTTTTCCACATTCTAAGCTTATCAGTGTTACAACTTACAGACCATGTGAATGAATGGTTATCATTTTTTGATAAATATATATATATATATATATACATATATTTTTTTTTGTTGCATACTATTATAAAAAATGTTATTGAATATGTACCATTGAAAATGCATAAACTCGTTAAAGATGGCTGGGTTCCCGACGCATGAAAAGAGGTAAACCAGGTTCTCACACACAAGTCAGAAAAAGGACAGACCTAATTCACCATTGTCTACTGTGCCTTCTCGTCACCACAGCAGATGTCATGTGAAATAAAATAATCGCACAAGGCCCAAACAGAAATCGAAGAGAGGTAAGCGTTATCCAAAGCCCAATATCGTTTTCGCAAAAGGAAGAGTATTCTCGATGCTACTAAAAAAGTGGTCTTTAATGAAGCGCATCGAAACACACAAATGACGAGAAGGTTCATACTTTTCGTTTTTCTGGACGTGAAATATGCCTTTAGCCCAGCCAACTGAGCTCTCAAAATAATGAATTTTCTTTCTACTTACAGGTACTCATTTTCTCATACTTTGCGAATAAAGTGAATAGGGCGAGACATCCCGACGGGACCGATACTGGGCCTTACTCTGTGGAATTTCCTGTACGATTACGTCATAAGATGCGGGGCCTACGGGAAGGAGCTGAGCATGTAGGTCCCGACCCTACTTGTTACTGTGCGAAAGAAAAACGTTTTTCAGGGCAGAACAAATCTTGCGCTAATCAAGATACAAGCCAGGGTGGAGGAGTGTCTTCTGGAGATTGCGGCAAAGAAACATCAAACCATTTATTTTATTGACACCAAGTTAATTTCTACTTCGGAAAAATCCTCAACACAGAACTCAAGGAAAACACACACATATATAGTATGCAGCGCGGAATAAACCATAAATCAAATATTGGTTCATGTGAGAGTGGACGAAAGCTGCGTCGAGACGAAAGAAAAAATTATTCTCAAAGCGGACAGATTTCAAAGAGAGAATGTTGAACCGACAAAGGAATGGCAAAACATGTGGTTGAGAACGATTGGTCACCATTTTTTAATAAATAGACAAGAAATGAGTTTTCTGCGTTGTTGTATTAGTTTATTCTTTTTATATTATTTATGTTGTATTAATAATAAAACGTTTGCATATGATTCGATCCGGAAGTACGTTCAAATATGACGGATTGTTTTGGATCACAAATTGCAAGCGTAGTTGTGCAAGAATCTTCATGTTACAACTCCTTGAGCCGGCTGTAGTGGAAGATTTCTAAGCTTAAACCAAATAGTCCAAAGTTTAAAAGAGTGACAGAGCTATGAATCGTTTGATCAAGTGCCTAGAATAAGATTAAAATTGTTTTTCTTACTTAAAGAAATGCAAGTTTCATTTTGTGTGAGTGGCAGTTGTCTGCTAAATCAATCGTAGGCTAAAAAGTTGATTAACTCAATTGTGTATAGCTAGCATCAAATGGGTCTTTTTGGTTTATGCAAAACTACATGGAAGCTAATTTGATAGATTCGTTCACACACGCTTTTTAGTGGTTATCAAAGCTCACAAAAGAGAAATTTCCTATCAAACGAATAAACATTCTGAACTATAACGTGGACTAATTAGAAATTAGGGGACTGATTCACTACTTAGAAACTACATATTGTCAAGCTCACTTCCTTAAAGATCACAAAAACCATAACGCGCAATTGGAAAAATTGGATTTAGAACGGTACGATAATGCTGATAGTAACGTTTTATCTCCTAGGACAATAATCAGACCCGATGCCAAGGGCTCGGGAACTATCTCAGACAACAGTAATAAATATGAAGAAGGTCTATTTTCACTTCCAAAGCCGTCGTCTCCGGCGAAAAGAGTATCCTATCTAACGCGATCATTCGCAGCAGAACTGCAAGGGATAAGATCTAAAAATAGCACAATCATTCCTGTTCCTAGAATTGAAAATGAAGGTATTTGCGTAAGGCAATAAGCTGTTAACTGTACAGATATCTGTAATTACAAAAAAATACAATTTACCATTGGCACAGTCGACAGTACTTTTTGTCTGGAGTAGCGGATTCGAAACGTCACTCTTAATGAGTTAGATGGAGCATATGGGTCGTCGTTACTGAGCCTCGCGTGTTGATTAAAGTGTAGAAAGCTTTGATCAAATAGATATAATGCTTATTGATTTAGTCAGAACGAAAGATTTCCTCTATTTAAGACTATGACGTGCATTGGAAATAAACGTATTCTGGCCTAATCGTCAAGCTTCATAGGTTCATCTGAGATGAATGAAGATGTCGAAGAAAAGTGCCGGAGACAGCGCCTCGATGTCTATAATCAGCATTGTAATGTTACTGTTAGATTAATGAATAATCGACAAAGCTTCGATCTTGATGAACTTACTAAGTACGGTCGTATTTAGTTCCATGTCGATTCTATAATATATTGCGACAGATGCATCACTGAAAGATGTGAGAAGATTTTGAAATAATTGGCCTAGCCATTGGCATTCTACAAATAGAGGACATCTCAATTAACCCATGAATTTTCGCTGTTGTGTCTGAGTTTTTTTTACCTCTCAATTGATATTTCGATGTATAGAAATTTTCGTCACAAATTCACCACAATAAAGCTACATGAATAAATTGTTATTAGTGTAAAACGGGATACAACACAATGTTACTTTTTACTGAGATGTATTTCTGGTGTTCCACCGTCAACAGGAAACCTCTTAAAGCATTTACTCAACTGGGCGATCACCAGAGGAATGTATTGTAGGACCATACTGTTAATGGCTTTCTAGATTTGTTTTCCAGAGAGGTATGCTTTTACAGCTTTTGAAAATTTTCGAGTTGCCCAATCTTCCAACTAGGGATAGGCCTAGATCGTTCTTAATACTAAGCTATCCTAAACTGTTCTAGGTAAATGATTCGATCACCTTTATTAACTATCGTACATCTGAGAAACAATAATACACAGAACTGGAGAAATCTTGGACTGTTTAAAAAACAGTATCCCAGTTGGGCATGAACAAGCGAAACCGTAGCTGTAAACTCTATATCAAGTTTTTACAAAGTATCACTGGATAATTCCAGTGAACGTGATAGCTGAATGATTTAAATTAAAACCATTGAAATTCCTCTTATATAAGGTGCGTATTCGATCCCTAGAAAAATCAATTATGTCGAATACGCAGAATAGGCCTAATCTATAAATACTACGGAATTATCCAATGCAGGCTGGTAATGCAGTAGGCAGCAATACAGGTACAGTCATAGTTGCCTCGAAATGAAAAGGTCACACGCGTTAAGCGTAGGCCAAAATTTGCCCCAGGAGACGGCATTGAACCTTGCTGTGGTAAGATGAAAGAGTCGGATTAGCTGGCCACAGGTGAAAATAAACAATATGTCTCTTTGTTCTACATCTCCTGGCCTTTCTGCAACGGTTCCCATTTTTAGAATAGGTATAACTTGTATAGTGTGCGCCTTGACGCTAACTCGGGCAGGTTCACTTGCATGCCGAGATGAGCCTTAAAAGAACCTCCGTTCCATAATGACTCATTTAGCTAAAAATGAAATTCGACTTAATAGCCTTGTAAGAAATAAGGGTTGCACTAACTGGCCCTTGCTCCTTACAAATGCAGTATGATACTTAGAGCTATATAATGATGTTGGGTAGATTACTTTGACTATGTTCTTACTGCGCAGGACATCTTCAGTGAATCCTCACTAGTCGGTCAGTTTTCGCTAGCGCCATGCTCGCTTCGCGTGGCTGTTCGTGTCCACGAAAACGTAGCAGCAGTCCTCCATTAGTTTAAGTCAGCGATGCGCATTTTTCAGCGCGCTTATGCAGAAAGTGTTTTTTGCACTAAATACATAGATATATGTATGCATATGTACACAGTATGTTTATGCAGTTCATTCAAACGTTGCAGATTGATGACTGATTTAGAATGCTTTGCGCATAAGTAGTCGCCATTTGTTGCGCAAGCTAGAGTCGAAGTTATGAGTTACATGGATTTTTTTTGTAGGCATTATATTCACAGGAATCAAGTGGAGATAGCTTCCGACTAGAACGATAAACATGGTATGTCGCGTCGAGCATTGGGATTGATAAGGTCACACCGATCTCAGCCTTCGATCCGATCTCATCGGAATGGTGCGTATTCCGAGACGTTGGCTTTCAGATGCGATCATACAAAGCTGTATTCGAACCATATCATACGGCCATTATCATATAGTTTACCAAAAACGATGTAAATAAGGTAAAAGGGTATAGCAAGCGGGAAAGATGATTTTTTCGTTGAGTACAAGATTAAAGCTTTCGATGCAGATTGTCCAGGATATCACTCTTCCTGTGGAACTGACAGAACGTCCATTAGGGCCGCTATGGAAATGCCCTATGGAAGAGGACTATTAGGTTGAAGGTGGTGCTATGATTGTGCCATATATAATCAAATAAAATCCCCTTCGCCAAGCTTTGTTATGAGGCCAAAGAATGCGTAGCTGTTTGTGTTCAACAAAATCGAATGGGAATACTAGCTGCTAAGGAGCTGAACGCTTATGCAAAAGTTAACATGTAGGCAAGTTAACACTGTCAATTTCCCTAGTACGAAACTGAATAGTTTTCACACAAAAGTGAATAATATTCACAGAAAGATTGAACTAGCTCGTATCAGTTGTTATATCTTCGATATGAGAATTACGATTGATTAATTGACATCGTATGTAAGTTATGCTGCTAATGAGCTAAGTGAATATGTTCATTTAGCTCATTCTTCAAGCAGCTTTTTGGGGCGTCTTAATCGTACATTGTGACAGTAAAATCTGGCAAATTAGGCGTGCATATGGTTGAATAAATATCAACGAGAAAGGGACCAGTATAAAGAAAAGCTGCCGAAATTGCATTTGAGCGTTGCTGTTGTGAGCTATGAGTTCGCTATCTACACAGAATGGATACGGCCTTGAACTTGCAAAGTAAACTATTATGTTATTATATATATATATATATATGTTATATTAAAGATGTTGCTTGAAGTTAAATGTTACTGTTTGTATTATTAATTTGCATGTATATGTCGAGAGTGTTGGCATTGATAATTATTGATGTGAAGAAGAGTTGAAAAAACCCGATATATCATCAACTGATCTTGAATATCTAGTTTTTTTGAAGGATCAGATCCTTGATCCGTTACGGAAAATCATTAAATGGTAGAGGCCAACTAAGGGAAGTTCCATCTTAATCGGATATCAGCATTTTTGGCAAATCGTTCAATCCTTATCGGCGCTCCCATGCTGGATCAAAAAGTAATTGTTAATTAATTAAATTCATATATAATTTTACTAATTGGTAGTATGTACAAGGAAATTCAATTACGTTCATAGATCCAAAAACAGTTTCTCATGTTTACACTGTGCCGCGGCTAACATTTAGATTCTGTTGTGTAGATAGTAAATTAACTTGCAATGAAAGGATAGTACTTTAGAAGGCTTGGGCTAAAGTCAACAAGTACTGTGGTTATTTTGTTGATTATAAGAATAACTTTTACGCTTTTGAAATTATCTTACTTTACATTACTATCTACTTTATAGAAATAAAATATTTAATGATTATGGAATACAAATAAATAGATTCCTCAACACCTTTCTGCGATGTAATCCACTAAAGCTGAGCAAGCCGACGTAAACACTAGAGTGCAAACGCAAAGCGCCTTCACAGCTGAAACTATTGGAAGGCAGGCCTGGCGCGACCTTGTCCTCGAACAACGTAATCTCCCTTTATCGTAAATACGACACACGGTCTCTACTATTAATCTTAATATAAGCGTCTCTCAAACTAGTATCGTTTCGCTTTATCTAACTAGCTATCAGTCGCGTTTCATACTGTTAACATTGCTGCTACAGATAAAACTTCTACATGAAACTAACTTAACCATATGAGAGGACGTTTATTTTTCGTTTAGATGTACTCTGAATGATTAGATAGATAGCTCTGGATAGAATAATGACA